GACAAAAAGGAAAACCCTGTTAGTCACTGGAATATTAGATAATAAATGGGCGCCAGAATGTCTGATATTTTTATTGTTGCGCAAGGTCTCGAAAAGTTTCATTTATTTTTAACATATATACAAGGTGGTCCGAATTGTATTCCGGAAACTTTGGCAGCATATTCTGCAGATAAAAATAAGTAAAAAAGTTCGTATGAATGTATGTCCTAAAATGGCTTAGTTTCGGAGATACAGTGTGTAGAACATAGACTTAAAATAAAATATAGACTACACTATTTACACCTCAACGCGGACAAACAACCTTTTTTGTACACATCTTTACTTCTGGGTACAGTCGACCGAGCCTTCCTCATTCAGCCTATGTTGTCACGTCTTTAATATTATCAATATTTTTTCTTGTTATACACATATATTGAGATATTAATACTACAGTTTAATAAAGTAGGTTTTAATATTCCATAGATGTATTACATAGTCCTTATAATCCTAAATTATAAGTGGGATACTGTTTAATAAGGATAAGTTCTTTACAATATAAACAACACCGATTAGAGGCGAGGGAGCCTATTCATTCATTTATTACCTTGTAGTACGTGTCGGACGTGTGCGGTAAAGCTTTGTTGCCGCTATCTCCCCGGCTGTATTAACGCATTTTCTTAGCTTGTAGTCCTCAAGTGTTTATTTTATTGACTTTTTCTATTCAAGAACTATAAAATATTGCAAGAAAATTTTGCAAGAAATTTGACTTAAATAATCCATTTAAGTCTTGAAACGACTTTTGACCGGTAGGCAACTCTCAATTTACCCATTAGGAGTCAGTGGCGTTGTTGTAGAAAGGCGCTTATTTAGATAATATTTTAGTAAAATGTAAAATCTGAATTTTTTCTCTTACATTACATTATTTACTTACTTACATTGTAACAAAATCATAATTATAACCCTGTTAATAATTAATAATGTTTTTATTAAAATATATCACTGGTTTATTCTAAAATTATCTTCAGAATCTAAAATAACATACAAGAATTTTAAAATGATATTACATTATGAAACAATATTTTTAATATACCGGGTCGTCTCAAAAGTGGCTCACCCCTATAACTTTTTTATTTTTTCAGATAAAAACAGATTTGTATGTTAGTAGGTATATGACATAAATTAGGATTTATTGACGATATTCAATTGTTTTTCTCTTCCTGTTTCACCGAAATGATTACATCTTTTGAAAGGCACCCTCGGTATATTGCTACTTTATTCGATAAAAAATGACACTCTGAATAGAATGACATATCATATGTCAACTTTGACATTGTCGCTTAAAAACATATCCTATTTTAAATTTCAATCCAGAGTGCCATGGTGTTGTTAAAAACACTAAGTTTTAATCAAGGAGCCTTGGAAAAATAGTTTTGATCGTCTAATAGGTTTCGTGTCTTGTCTAGGCCGGTTAAAAGATGTACAAATCGTATTTTTAATCATACATATGTCAATTTTTTCAAATGGAACAAGGGTGACTCATTAGCATATTTGGAAAAAAGCATTTTTTATGAATATATTGATACCACACACTTGGTATTTCGAGTCAAATTGTCGTTATGAACCGCGTGTTACAATTACAATTAAACCATATGCGAAAATGTCAAAAGTTTACATATTATATGTCATTATTCAGAGTGTCATTTTTATCGAATAAAGTAGAAATATACCGAGGGTGCCGTTCAAAATTAAAAGTTATAGTTTCCGGTGAAACAAGAAGTGACCAAAAACAATTGAATGCGTCAATCAATACTAATTTATGTCATATACTAACATGCCAATCTTGACTTTTTATTTGAAAATATAAAAAAAATTATGGGGATCAAGAGCACTCTTTGGGACGCACCCGGTATAATAAAGATCAGTACCGAGTTAAATAAATGTAGTTTTCATTGTATCCACTTCCTATCATCTTCCTTGCTTTTAATGGAACAGATTTATGGTTTCTCTAATTTACATAAGACATCATTTAACCAGAAAAAAATTACAACAATCATATTTTTTAAGAGTCCTGTCGCCGATTCTATTATATCTGTGGAATAGATCCTGTTTTGATTAATATTAGGGTTGTCAATGTTTGACTAAAATTAATAATTTATTATTAATTATGCAAAATTACATAATTTCGATTATAAAATTTCTTCTATAACGTGTATTTTATTATTTTTATCCTTTTGGACTCTAAGGCGTTTTTTCTAAACTTTTATTTAAAAACCTGTCCTAAATCTTAATAAAATATAAAAAAGTTTAAATATGATATATTTTAAATTTAATTATAGCTTCATTAAAATAAAAAAATTACCCGGCTATGAGACGGAGAGTTCAGGTGTACTTGAGAAACGAAAGACAGTGTTGTGTTTCTCGGCAGAGTCGTCAGGGAACGACCGTTACGACAGAGACAACCTATCTATCGCTCGTGTCGCACTCGTTATAACCTAAAACAATAACACAACAATAACAAGATATTGTCTGACCGCATGTTCCAGCTATTTATGAATGAGATGCTCAGTCTATATTTTATTTTAAGTCTATGGTGTAGAAGTTTCATTTTTATTTTGATTTTTTCCAAATAATTTATGAAGTAACGTCAATATTTGGATGAAAATTGGTTGTCTGGGAGTTTTTTGACATGAGAAATTTGATTTTGATGTCAATATGACTCCTACTTATAGAGGGCGCCACCTACATATTTTTTAACTTGTTTGAAGGGTAATAACTTTTCGTCCGTACCTGTGTGGAACTACTAAGTAAAAAAATATACATTTACGAAGTTTTTTACGCAAAAAAGGTGTCTTGTTAAAAATCGCTACGAATAATGGTTCTCGAGATATTTGGAATCGAAATTAGCAATACCTATCATCATTGACATAAATTAAACGCTGTTTGTAAATCACAGATAAAAATAAAAGAAGTCTGCATTTAATGCGGATGTTAGGAATCGTGTCGTAGCAAATTGTGATTGGTCATCGATGTTATTTCTGTGGCATCGATGATTCACTCATTGCTTTGACGGTAGGAGCTGATTTTATCTATATATTGGTTCTTTTATACAGAGTATACATACAATAACAACATTGCGTAGATTAGTGATGCTGGGACATCGTTAATCCCGGGAAAAGAGGAGGGAAAACCTAGTTATTTATTTATTAATTTTGTATATTTTTATTTTTATTTATTTTTTTAACTTTTATTAATTTTTTCTATTTTTTTATATTTTGTTATCCTTTCTAACTTTTTTTTGAGGTCAAAATATTCTTATCTTATTTGTCTTTGCTTGACCACCATGAAACAATATTGCTGCATCGTTTGCATTTGCCGGTGTTAGCAGTCGTATCATGGCAGATTTTGATTATTCATCGATGTTGCTTTGGTGGCATCTTTGAATCGATCATTGCTTTGGTATATGGTATTTATAATTAAAATTAATTTAAATTAATTTTATCTATAAATTAGAGTTCTTGTACACAGAGTATACATACAATGACAACGTTGCGTAAATTAATGGTGCTGACACATCGTTAATCCGAGGAAAAGTGGAGGGAAAACTTATTTTATTTATTTGTTAATTTCGTTTATCTTTATTTTAATTTAATTTTCTTATTTTAACTTTTATTAAATTTTTCTATTTTTTTTAAATATTTTGTTATCATTTCTATCATTTTTTTAAGTTCAAAATATTCTTATCATATTTGTCTTCGCTTGGCCACGATGAGACAATGTGGCTGCATCGTTTGCATTTAATGCCGATGTTAGCAGTCGTATCATGGCAAATTGTGATTGAGCATCGTTGTTGCCTCTGTGGCATCGATGAATCAATCATTGCTTTGAAGGACGGAATTAATTTTATCTATAAATTGGTTCTTGTAAACAGAGTATACATACAATGACAACATTGCGTAGATTAATGATGCTGTGACATCCTTAATCCGAGAAAAAGTGGAGAAAAAACTTAGTTTATTTGTTTATTAATATCGTTTATTTTTATTTTTATTTAATTTTCTTATTTTAAATTTTATTATTTTTTTTCATTTTGTTTTAATATTTTGTTATCCTTTCTATCATTTTTTTCTTAAGTTCAAAATATTTTTCTTCTCGACGTTGTTATTCCGAGGAAAAGTGGAAGACAAACTTGTTTTTTTTAATTATTAATATTTTTTTTGTTTTATAATATTTTCTCTTTCTTTAAATATTTTGTTAGTCCTATTCTCATTTTTTTTCTATCCCCTACTTTCCTAAATATATGTCTATTTTTGTTTTAAGCAACTAACTCTGATAGTTAGGTGCTAGCATTTTAAATATGACAGATTATGGCAGGTCATCGCTGTAGCTTCGGTTACAACGATGGTCTCATCCGTGCTTTCGGACGAGACTAACTTTATCAATAAATTATGTCTACACACCGAAAGCATACAATAAGAACCAGAGGCGGTCCATGAAAGCGGGGGAATCACCGCGCTTCCCTATACGTTGAGGTAAAAAGAAACCCAATTTTTTAATAGATACACATACATCAAACATCGCAATTAATATGAATTTATATATAATAATAATAGCTCCAGCATATAGCTTTAACGCCTTGGGAGCAGCAAGGTACAGTTTGCCATACTAGAGCCCTTCGGTATACAAGGAAGGTAATGTGGCTAGCCCTACGCTTCAATCGCCTATTATTACCTCAGGATTGTGAATCCCAAGTACTCATTTAAGGCTAAGTCGACCTAGGTACCTAAACTATTTTTATTTTATTAAAAATAGTCGGCTGATGAAATGCCGGCTGTAGGATTCGAACCCACATCCTTTGTATTGGTAGACGAGAGCTGTACCTCTACGCCACCGAACACCTTGAATTTATTTATATTATATATAAATATATATTAGGATATTTGTATTAACTCTGGTGATAGGAACAAAGAATAATATTCATTGAAATTGATTTCGTTGAATTTAATATAACTTTTTTTTTTCAGGGCCAAGCAGTTGTTCAGTTGGCCAAAACTATTCCAGATGTTACCATATATGGCATTTGCTCCAAAGGAAAACACGAAGCCTTGAAGGAAGCCAACGCACCAGTCGACCATTTATTAGAAAAAGGTTCAGATTATGTCAGCGAACTTAAAAAGGTACTAAATTGCATTGTACATTGAAGAACTCTGTATATTTGATAATGTTTCTACTTATTTCTTAGAATATCCAGAATAGAATCTTTTTTTCTTATCTAACAATATTTCGTACATTATAAAAATTATTCAGGTCATACGTACTATGAATAGTTCTGACTTATGAGCAAGTAAGGGATGTTAGCCTAGATCATATATGTATACTTATGTGGATAACTAAATCACTATGGAAAGTGTCGCAAACATATCAACGACTTCCATTTATCTTCTTTTTTTTGTTGCACACGCGGTGCTTCTACTCTATCTATCCTTGTCGAGGACCTATCGTCCGCGCGCCAAATTTGAACATTAATTTTAAAAATTTAATTTGTAGAATGCACATATTTGAACAATAAACTAAATGTTTACTGTTACAAAAATTAAATTATATAAAAAATACATGTAGGCACTCCGTACGAATATCAATATTCTTCGGAAATCTAACCAGAAAATATGCCACGTGGTTTAATATAAATAAAAGAACAACTGAATACTTTACTTGCCTATGAAAAGATAATTCGGGGATCTTTATATTAGAACTTCCACACACCAAACACTTTCTAGTCGTTTTTACGAGTATTTAAAAAGTCCAACTTAAAATTAACATCTCACTGAACACACTCGCATCCTTGGCTATATTAAAGCGGCCGATAAAAGAGTAATTAATACAATTTTTAAAATAAAAATTCACAGTCCTTTACAAAGATGCAACCGGGGGGGCTCATTGAAAATGATGAATAAAAACGTAAAAATATGATTAGTGTTAATATGAGTGTATTACATACATATGTTTAAATAACGAACTTAACAACAAGCAAGCAAAAAAACCTCGAAAAAAACAAAATAACATACAAAACATCAGGTTAACATGATGACAGATCATGATCAATGACAGATAAAGAATTCTTACGGAAAGTTACACTTTACGATATAATTTTTTAACTGTTAAAGGCAAACCCCATTTAAACACAAAACTTTTTAATACCTACTACTGTATCTAAAAGACTTTTTTAAATTACTAAATTCTTAGCAACGCTTGTGTTTTTCTTGGCTGTTGTGCGTCACGTCACAGATTAACAGGCCCACGTTTACTACAAAGGCGATGCTGCAGACCACTAGGTAGACCGGTCGTAGAAATTTATGTTATACCTACAACTTGTAGTCAATCTACACAAATATTATCAAACACTTTTTTCTTTTAAAATGTGTTCAGATTTTGTAAAGTGAGCATAGATGTTTTTTATTTTTCATCTTTTTTTTTATTTATTAAGAGCACTAATACTCTCTTTATAGGTTATTTTTTATTCTTTGAAGAATAATTGAGGAAGATATATTTCGTTATGATGTCACTAAATAAACTCTTGTATAAAATTTTATACTGTCTGGTTTATAATGTTATAGTATTGCATTTTCGTACAGCAAACTTTCATTCCCTATTCTACACCATAAGGGTATAAATTTCATAAATTCGCTTTACCTTTGTGCGAATTTTTATGTGTATAATCCAGAGGTCACCAAGTTTTATATAAATTTTTACTAACTTTACCCATTTGGTTGATGAATTTCAAAAAATTTCTTCTAATTCTTTTTGTAGGATTTCATTCTTCTAGACCAAATAGTAAGGAATTTTCATACAACAAACTGTTCCGAGATAATTTTACTCTCTAAGAGTTTCCTAAAATCGCTTTGTGTAGCTAATTCACTAATGTCGTTTAAACGAACCTTTGTGCTAATATTTATGTATCTAAAGCTGGCGGCATGAACTCACTCTAAAATATCTAAAAATGTAATATATAATCTAACTGACACAACACTGACAAAGACAAATAATTTATTTCTGGAGGTATTGTGTGTAGGTGTTTTTCAGGTATGTTTTAGTATTTAGTCTAATAATGAACACTTCAGAAATACACCAGTAAAAACATTTATTATTTGAGATTAAAACTCGAATTAAATTATAAATATTAGTTACCTATGTTGTTATAGCTTTTATAGGCCTGTTTAACGACTTAATAAGTTACCTAGCGAAAAAATCTGTGCGCGTACCTACCACTATTGTTACAGGTTAATTCGTTAAAGAAATATGTTACACAAGTTAAAAACGCTAAAATTTTATCATTTATAATATCATTTATATGCCCAGTATATTTCTGTTTAACAAACCAATCAGGAAAAATCCAAAACCTACCGTTATAGGAGGTATAAGATGATTAAACTCATTAAACTTATATAATGACAACTACTTATCGGATAACAAATTAATTACTACTGTCAGCTAGTTCAGCTACTGTCTAGGTAGAATATACCTAGAGTACCTACACCTACCTATGATGTAGGTAGATTAAAGCTTATTTTGACGTTACCTCTCACTTCGGTGTCACAAGCTGAATTTTTCAGGGATGGAAGTACAGTACATGATATGGGGACCCTTATTCCGAAAGTAGTACAAAATTAGACCGGGTAAAAGGACACTATCATCAAAAATCGATATATTAATACCACCGTATAGAGAAAACAAATACTTATTTTTTGATCCAGGACACAATAAAGTCTTATGACCAAAAAAAACTTTAAACATGAATAATCATTTCAATCATGCGAAAATTTGGTTTAAAAATAGATTTTTTTTAATATAACTTTCATTTAACGAAAAACGAAGGCCTAAATGAAAAAAAGAAACAATTTAAAAGTTTCGCTTATGTCTTGACAAGGTATCAAAGCAAACCCCATATTTTTGCTTTTAAACTAATAAAGATATATCAATAAACAATTAGCGATGTAATGGTTTTGCGCGCACACCAAACACTTTCTAGTCATTTTACGAGTATTTAAAAAGTCCAACTTAAAATTAACTTCTCACTGAACACACTCGCATCCTTGGCTATATTAAAGCGGCCGATAAAAGAGTAATTAATACAATTTTTAAAATAAAAAACGCCAACAACAAGCGTCGTTACACAATGGAAATAAGATTATGACATATGATTATGACAAGATTATGACAATATGATGACAATGAAAAATTGGTTTTTATAACAATCTATAATTTGTACTTTCTAAACCGTATAAAATTGTGATTATTTCGGAAATACGTGCAACTTTTAATGCGCATGGGCGCAATGTAAGGTCCTCGGGAAAGACAAACCTATTGCACATTTCATAAGTGCAATAAAGAAGGTTTGAAAATGGCATGTCGTGATGTTGGAGACATTTTTAATGCTAAACTTATGGCGTTGATTTATCCACACAAGTATACCGGGTGTTGCATCGTCGGACGGGACATAGGAAATCCCATGTAAATTTTAATGGGGTCAATTATTGGCTTCCCTAATTATTTTAGAGAATAATTCTATTTAGGTTTATTGAAGAGCACTAAAACCCACATTCAAAAGAATAACTTTAGATATTTTTGATTAGCTCGTTTACGAGTTATCGCCGATTTTTTTTAAATATTTCTCCTTTCTTATGGCCCTGTATTTACTTATGAGCACCAGTCAAGGTAAAAGATAACTGTCAAATGAAGTTGTCATTTCAGAAATTTACCTATTTAGTGCTTTATTATTATTGAAAACTCATTTCTACATCGGAAATCTTAAAGATGTATTGATAAATACAAATTAATATGAATTAAAGTAAAATAAAGTAATCAATTACAAGGTTAATTATAGTATTATTACAATATTCAATAACTTATTAATTTAGGTACTATTAAATTGTTAGAACTTTAGGATTTAAAAAGATGTTCAAATATTCCTCCATCGACTGCTAGACAATAACCCAGGCGATCATAAAATTCTCTTCTTACATTCGCTAGTTGGTAAACTGAAATTCTATTGCATTCGGCAGAAATAGCATTTTTTAACTCATCTAGATTTGGGTATTTTTTATCCTTGTATATCCTGTTTTTTAATTGGCCCCAGAGAAAGAAATCATTTGGTGAAATATCAGGAGACCTTGCTGGCCAATTTACTGTATGATTTAGGCCAATAACGTTTCCGTTAAAACTATTGTCTAAATATTCCCGAACAGCCAGGGTACTATGTGCCGGACATCAATCCATTTGGTACCAAACTTCCTGATTTTCCCTAGCGGCATCATGTAAAGCAGGTAAAATATGATTTTCGAGTAGTTCCAAATAATATTCTGCATTAAATTTCGCGTAAGAAATAATGGCCCGATAATATTGTGTCCGAATATCCCTGCCCAAACATTTACTTTCTGTGGATATTGCGTCCTTGTTTCGACAAACCTGTGTTGGTTTTCTTTGTTCCAATATCGATAATTTTGAACATTGGGTTCATTATTTAAGGTAAACGTGCATTCGTCAGTGAAACATATGTTTTTTAAAAATTCCCTATCCGTGTTTGCTCTTTCCATCATATCAAAACAAAACGCCTGCCGCCGTATTTCGTCCCCATCTCGTAGCTCTTGGTGCTTTTCATATTTGAAGGAATAGTATTTATGTCGTTTCAAAATTCGAAACGCTGTAGTGTGATCTATTCCTATTTCATCCTCAAGTTTCCTTGTGCTGATCTTTCCATCGTTCTCTTCCACGCACAATAAAACTTCCAAGTCGGTATCATTTCTTGCATCTTCTCTTTGTTCCTGCCTTGCTTCACATCTGCAGTTATTTATTAGGGTACCTTTGGTCTCAAATCTCTGGATATTCCTTGCGATTGTAGATTTTCCAGGTATCGGTCTATTCGGATACAGAGCAGCAAACATGTCCGACACCTTTTGATAACTATTTCCTTGATAATACCATTTAATCATCAATACTTTTTCTTCGGTAGTGTAATTCATGGCTAATATTTTCGATGTAGGTATGAGTTTTTAATAATAATAATAAAGCACTAAATAGATAAATTTCTGAAATGACAACTTCATTTGACAGTTATCTTTTACCTTGACTGGTGCTCATAAGTAAATACAGGGCCATAAGAAAGGAGAAATATTTAAAAAGAAATCGGCGATAACTCGTAAACGGGCTAATCAAAAATATCTAAAGTTATTCTTTTGAATGTGGGTTTTAGTGCTCTTCAATAAACCTAAATAGAATTATTCTCTAAAATAATTAGGGAAGCCAATAATTGACCCCATTAAAATTTACATGGGATTTCCTATGTCCCGCTCGACGATGCAACACCCGGTATATGATCTAGTAATGTTAGTCGGGAACTAATGTGAACTAAAGACCCAGTTCAAGGAACTAATCCTCTGAAGGAATGAAGGAACTAGAACTAGGGAACTAGTTCCTCCCTAGAAACTTTTACAGTTTTTTCCTTGATAACTTTAATAATGGAATTTCTCTGTACATCTAAATGCTCTTTTCAAGTCTTTGTATTGTATAATTAAAAGCAATTAACTAAGTATCACAGAAGCATTATCCACCACACAGTATTATAGTAATTACCATATAGAATCCCTCGCGTGAACCAATTTAGACCCATTAAACTGTTCTTGCAGATTTCTCCAGATGGAGTTGACATCGTGCTGGACTGCCTCTGCGGCGAGGAATGCAACAAAGGCTACAATCTACTTAAGCCCATGGGAAAATACGTCCTCTATGGAACGTCGAACGTCGTCACCGGAGAAACGAAGGGATTCTTCAGCGCCGCCAGATGCGTAAGTCAATTTGCATGAAATATAATACGGATGGTGTCAAAATTAATCAAATTAGTGGATTAGGGGATACGTAATGAAATTTGGTTATTTTAGGAAGCCAAAAACTTATATCTTGGAATATCCGGAATAGAATAATTTCGTATTTATTTATTTGTTTCTTTGGTGAAAATCTGCTATACTAAATATGTATACAGAATGTCAACAAATAGTGTATCTAAGTTCGGTCAGTAAAGATACAGATAAAAATAAAACAAAAAGTAAACTAAAAACACTAAATCACCACAATATGACATTTAATGACCAAAACACTTTTACTTTTACACTGGACGCGCTCAAGAAGAGTTAGGTTAGGTTGTGACTCTTCTTGATCATCTGCTGATGATGCTAACATGCTTAGCAAAACGCGCGTCATTCTGATTTAAGAATTGATTTCAGACTTAAGTTTTTTAAAACTGATTTGTTGCAGCTCTGAGAGTATCTATACAATAAATTACTAATAACTATTAATATAAATAATATTAATGCGATAATGACTTTACGAGTAACACTAAAATAACTCATTCCTCTAAAATTCTGTTTCAGTGGTGGCAAGTGGATAAAGTTTCTCCGCTCAAGCTCTTCGACGAGAACAAGAGCTTAGCGGGCTTTAACCTTCGTCATTTTATGTACCAACAAAACGGTGCGGCTCACGTCAAAGACACAGTCCAGAAAGTATTCCAGCTGTTCCAGGAGGGCAAAATTAAGCCTCTTTTGGATTCTACATGGGCATTAGAAGATGTAAGTATGGCTATAAAACATAATACTTGAATGTAAAAGCTTATTTGCTAAGAGTAAAGAGAAGTTTCATGAAATATTTTTATAGAGAAATCGATAGAAGTTGGCATGCATCAAAGACGTCGAAAGTATTATCAAATTAAATTTCTAATATACAGTATGTCGTTGTCGTTAATATTACTATAGAAACGCCTTTTAGGACTTTGAAAAAATTCAACCACATTTTCATGTTTTTCTTAATTTCCTCTAAAACGTTATAGAAATTTGGAAAAGTATAAACGGGATTAACTATTTTAGAACAAGCAAAATTTTTTATAAAGAATGCATTTTCCTCAAAATGTCAATAATAAAAAAGCTTTTCCTCTTGTAAAAACAATCCGGGGGACATACTGTATGAAAATCCGTTTAAAACTATTAATTGCTACGTACAACTAAACTTAAATGGAATCACTCTTTATTTCTGACTATACTTTTTGCAGAGGAAAAAAAATGGTATACTACTTTAAGATAAGGTTTTTTGTTGTAAATAAACATGATAATAAAGAATGCTGCGATTTATTAGCTTACTTCGGGTTTCTCTTATTAACGATTCTGAACCGTCCTAGAACTATGATGCGTATGCGCAGAACGAAATATGAAGACATTATTTAATTTGCGCATGCGCTGCAGAGTTCTAGGATGGTTCATAATCGGTAATAACAAGAACCCGAACAAAGCTATTTTTTTTTGAATTTTGTATTCAGTAGTAAAATCACGATTGTCGGGTAATTTTCATTCGATCCAAAAAAAAATGCGTTATGTTGGATTAACAGATGTAGAGAGGGGAAGAATTATTGCTCTCACCGAACAAATGCCCCAAATGGAAGGAATGCCCCAAAGAAATGCCCCCGAAGGAATGCCCCAAAGAGACGTAGCCGAGATAGAAGGCGTTACCCAGGGTGTTGTATCGAAAACATATGCAAGGTACTTGGAACTAGGAACTCTCAAGAACAGGCCCAGACAAAGTCGTCAAAGAGTCACAACTGAACAAGACCGCTTTGTGTGCCAAATTGCTAGAAGAAATCCTAATGTTTCTCATCCAGAGCTACAAAGACAACTTCTGGCAACTACAGTTGTGAATGTTTCAGTTGAAACCATAAGAAAAAGTGTTCGGGATCGAGGGTTGTACAGTAGGAGGGAGTTACGGGTCCCACAGTTATCTCGGCAAAATTAAATTGACCGGTTAAATTGGTGCTTTCAACATCAAAACTGGACAACTGAGAATTGGCAAAATGTTCTTTTTTCGGATGAGACCAGAATTGGCATAAGATCAGATGACCATCGAATTCGGGTTCTCAGAGCTCCAGGAGAACGAGCGAGGCTCCAGGCTGCCAAATCTGTACCAAATTTAAAGGGGAAACTGTAATGTTCTAGGAAGGTATTATGATGGGAGCAAAAACTCCATTGTTACCGCTTCAACAAACTTTAACGGGTCGGAGGTATGTTGATTTACTGCTAGAACCAATCGTTAGGCTTTGGAGAGCTGCAATTGGGGATAATTTTAACTCCTTGCACGATAATGCACCTCCCCATACCAGCAAAGTTGCTAGAGAATGTCTTGAAACGGAACAGGTCATAGTTTTGGACTGGCTTGCATATTCACCAGATCTAAACCCTATCGAACACTTGTGGGACCAGCTTAAAAGAAGGGTTAGAGCTCGTCGAAACAATCTAGGAAATCTCGCACAGCTTTTTGATGCAGAATTAGCAGAATGGGAAAACGTACCCCAAAACAGCGTTGTTAATTCAATAAGAAGCATGCCAGGGCTAGAGGTGATAATACGGATTATTAAAATTATCAATTTCCTTTTTGTTTTTGCTTTTTGTCCATTAAAAATTTAAATCTCATTTCGTTTCAGAAACCAAAAAAATACCATTGTGTTTATTTTGGGAACTGAGAACTGAATTTTTTTCTATTGCTATATGGATTATTTTTCATTAAAAGTTTTTGGTAAAGACTTAAAACACAAAATTTTCATACGTCCCAAAAATTATGAAAAATAATAGATGATTCCATATAAGTTTGGTTATTATAATTGTATTGAAAACGTCAAGTTTTTTTCTAACGTTATTTATCATATTCAGGTAGCAGAAGCTATGCAGAAAATGCACGACCGCAAAAACGTCGGCAAAATAATCCTCGATCCAAGCCTGGAGCCCAAACCCAAACCGGCCACTCCAGCGAAGGGCAAGGACAAGAAGAAGCAATCTTCCGAAGAGAAGAAGGATAACGACGAGAAGAAAGAGGATAAAAAGGAAGAGAAGAAAGAAAAGGAAGAAGAGAAAAAGGAGGAGAAAAAATCCGAAGCCGCGACCAACGGCACTGGCGAACCGGCAGCGGCGGACGAAGCTGGTAAGGCAGAAAAGTAATTTATTGTTAAAAATAAGTATTAAATGTTGAGAACGTCTACAATCAAAACGAATATATCTACAAATCCAATTTAAACCCCGATTTATTGTAGATCCCAAAGAAAAAGAACACTCCAGTTAAGTATCTCCTTTCGTCTCTTCAAACACCACATCCCTTTCTGTATGAACATTCGCAATTTTATTATGTACGTCATCAATATTTAGCTCTAATTACTTGGTTTAGTTTACCCTATCATATGATCAAATGAAAACGATGTTATAGTAGTCTTTTCGAGGTTCTTGACAGGTACAGCAATTAATTCTACTTAGAGTACTTTCTAAAATACTTCTTTATTATCTGTATTTTGTTTTATTTATATTTTTAACTTTAAACCGGTCGTTCAAATAACACACTACGTCAATTGTGAGTGTCAAGAACTTCACCAATACATATAGTAAAGCTTAAACTAAAATTACAACGATTTTCATCATAAGTTTTGTGAATAAGAAATACATTTGGCGCCCAACGTGGGGCGCCGTCTGTAATATTGTTTTTATTTGATCACATGATATGATAATGTCGATATAGATTATATATTCACAGGGAGATCTCAAGTACTATAAAAATATCCGTTATAGTTTTAGTAAAACGACAAATGTCTCATATTGAGTGTTTTATAATTAATTCTCTATTTTTATATATGTTAACTGTATTATTATTATTTGTGGTTTGTATCAAGAAGAACGTTTGTTTTATTACGCATTATGTTTCCATAAAAGGTGTTTATTTTTTTTATAAACTTGATTGGTAAAATTATATAAAAAATTCAAAAAGAACCAACCCTATTTAATTCGTATATATTGTAAAAGTAACGGTGTAATCTACTATAATATAAGAACTAACACACTCAGTATTGCCTAACAAAAAGAACTGAATTATTTTTGTTGGTGCAAGGCCAATTATTCATAATAGAGTAATTTTGTCAGAAATAGTTTTATTTTTTATATATTTTTGAGGTCTAGTTTTAAACCATTAGATGATAAAACCACCAATGAAAGAATTCTTGCTAAAAATACGATATTTTTTCTAATTTAGAGTCACATATCTTACTGAATAAAAAGCGTCAGACCAACAAGTAGCTAGCATTTTATAAAAAAAGTATTTTTCCACGCTTAGTGAAAACAAAACAAAGATAAACGAATTTTTGAAATTTTCTATGGGTATATTTTTGCTAAAATTGCCATTTTTTCGCCATATCACGAGGTGTTTTCGATTTACACTTTACTGAATTTATATAAAATTTATAGTTTTTAGTAATTATTGATTTTAGTACTTTAAGAAGATTTATATTTTTGCGCTTGTATATTTTAATACCTACTACTATTACTGCTATATTGTGTAAAACTCGAAATATATGTATATCTATTATGAGTAACTTTTGTGCAAAATATATTTTCTTAATTATATGTAACGGATCGATTGTGTTTAGAAAAAAAAAGGTAAAAAGAAGCTGTTCTGTTTTGAAAATTATAGATATTAATTATTAAGCTAAAGTATGTTAAATATTGCTTAAAATTATATGTATATGTAAGACTGATGTGTTAAGCTACTGCATATTATTGTTTGGATGCCTGTATATTAAATAAAGTATAATTACCAAAAAAATAGTATTTTTATTTAATTTTCCTGTTTAGTTTTGTTTATTTATTGATTGTACCTTTTTTACCTCGTATTACTCTGTGTGTACAGGGTGTTGTGTCAAGAACTTTACCAATACATACAGTAAAGCTTAAACTAAAATATCAACGGTTTTCACGATCAATTTCTTGGATAATAAATACGTTTGGTGCCCAACGTGGGGCTTCAGTTGTAATATTCTTTTTATTTGATCATAATGATATGGTAATATCGATATAGAAATACTATGAAAATATTCGTTATAGATTAAAATTTTGAAGAAAATGTATTTAACATATTATATTGTACGTAATATTTCATCGTTTAAAATCATTCGGCTTGGTTATTCAGTTCTGTGTTGGATTTGGCAATGATTTCTACCTTAGATCTATTTACTGAAGGATCTACATTGGTCATAGATTGATGTGCTGGAGGATCCATATTGGAGACGTGTTGCTTGGAAAAATTTGCATTCAATCTGCTGTGCTGTTGAAAACGTTGGTCACTGGGGCTTGTTGCTGGTAGATTTAACTGCGACTGATTATAATTTTCTTCCTTATTATCCGCCTCATCCGTTGTTGGGGCATTTTCCAAATCGTGTACCATCAGTTCTTCCTCTTGAAAATAAAATAAATGTTTGTGAAACACACAGAATAGTATGTATGCTCGTTCATTATTTTATTTGTTAAATTTATTTATTTCATGAATTTTACAACTAATGATTCGATATTTCATTATTAATTTTGATTTGATAGTTTATTGAATTTTGAATAAAAATTAAATAAATCTACAGGGAGGCCCATCGAAAACATTCCGCAATGCATAACGGCCAGGGTAATTTTTTTCAGAAAATTAAAAAACTCGTCAATTTTGTTTGTGAGGGGGACAACTTTTGCCCCAAAAATGATTGCAAAATCTTTAATCCTCTAAGCGGGGTTGTCACTCCTCAATTTTTTTCAAATGGGAAGAGGGGTCAAGTGATATCGCAATGAAAAGGGCTTTCTATTATCTATACTTTCCCGCTTCGTTTTTGAAAATCGGTCAAGTCATTGAGAGAATATGAAGGATTGAAATTTGAAAAGTTTATTTAAACATTTATCAGAGTAAATGATAAAGATAAATTCCTTCGACCAATTTGCTGTCTTTTCTTATTATTTCTAGATGTTTACGCATTTTTTCACTTGCCACAAGGTTGAACGATTAGGTGCGGTAGTTTCTAGATAGCTGTTCTTTGACTTGTGCGTTGATGTTCTTCTCAATATCGTTAAAACTTTTTAACAATTATGGTGTACTCACTTGCAGAAAAAGTGGAAATAATCGAACTTTATTTTAAAAAGAATGAATGTAGCAATCGGTTTGCGCAGATATTCAATGAACGCCATCCTGACAAACACCTTTATGGCAAAATTGTTCGCGAGTTAGTTGCAAATTTCGCGAAACTGGTTCCGTTATGAATAAAAAGAGGCAGAGGGAAAATCCTGTAGTAAATGAAGCTATGGAGGTATTCGTATTGGGCCAAGTTGCCATGGATTGTACGCTGAGTACAAAAAAATTAGCCAATGAGACCGACGTGAATCGTACAAGCGTCCAAAGTATATTAAAAAAACACAAGTTCCACCCGTACAAAATTCAGTTGTTACAAGAACTCAACGAAGACGTTTTAAAATAAAGTTTATTTTTAAAATAAAGTTCGATTATTTCCACTTTTTTTTGCAAGTGAGTACACCATAATTGTTAAAAAGTTTAACGATATTTAGAAGAACTTCAACGCACAAGTCACAGAACAGCTATCTAGCAACTACCGCACCTGATCGTTCAACTTGTGGCAAGTGAAAGAATGCGTAAACATCTAGAAATAATAAGAAAAAACAGCAAACTGGTTGAGGGAAGTTATCCTTATCATTTACTCTGATAAATGTTTAAAAAATCAATGACTCGACCGATTTTCAAAAACGAAGCGGGAAAGTATAGAGAATAGAAATCCCTTTTCATTGCGGTACCACTTAACCCCCTTTCCCATTTGAAAAAAATTGGGGGATGACACCCCCGATTAGAGGGTTGAAGATTTTGCAATCGTTTTTGGGGCAAAAGTTGTCCCCCTCAAACAAAATTGACGTGTTTTTGGATTACCCTGGCCGTTATGCCTTGCGGAACGTTTTCGATGGGCCACCCTGTATTAGTTAATTAGAACAGGTAAAAAAATCAGGATAATTGGATAAAAAATAAGAAAGCTTTCATAAAGTTTTGCAAAATTTTTTGTGCGATATGTATTAAAATCGTTGATATAATTTCAGAAAATTTCAACGGACGACATTCAAAAATGACAGAAAATACGATTTGACTGTTAATTAAAGTAACAGACACTCCCGTTGAAAAGACTATAGCGTTTTTCCAAAATAGGAAACCTCCAAAGTATAGATCTTTGTTGTGTGTCATTTTCGATCGAATAAAGTAAAAAGGGTGTCATTTAAAAATCAAAAGTTGTAGTCATTTCCGGTGAAACAGGAAGTAACCAAAAACAATTGAATACGTCAATCAATCCTAATTTATGTCATATACTAACATACCAAATCTCGTTTTTTATCTGAAAAAATAAAAAAGTTATAAAGGTGAGCTACTTTTTTTTACGCACCCGGTATACGTTACGTTAGAGTAATTATATATATTTTTTCACTTACATTTTCGCTTTTATTTACTATTTGTTAAAAATTAATTAGAATGCGTCAATTTGACTTAGGTGTTGTATTACAGTACGTTTGTCAGTTCTGTAGCTACGGGGTATCCGTGAGAGGGGAAACGATATTCTCTCCATGTTTTTCGTAAAAAATTAGACGACGCGTCCCATCAATAAAAATTCGACAAATTTGCAATTAACCAATAAAATGAGTGGGCGGAGCGATTTACGGTGACGTACTCGTCAAGTCGACGAATAAAATATATTGTTTATTTAAATGCTTTTTGTCCGCATTCCTTTCATAGACACAGATCCAGCAGACGTACTGTAGGGTATCTGGTATTTTTATTAGAAATCTATTTTTTTAACAATTTTAACTCTACCCTGTATTAAATTTTGACACGTTTCAAATAAAATTAGAACGGCGTTGATAAGTTGCTTCATATGCTCTTTCCTTGATATTTTTATTGAAAGTTACAGACATTGTTATACAGGGTGATCCGAACTGTATTCCAGAAACTTCGGTAGCATATTCTGTAGATAAAAATAAGTAAAAAACTTCGTACACAGGTACACTTCGTACAGGGTGTAGAAGTTTCATATTTATTTCGATTTTTTCCGAATAATTTCTGAAATAACGTCAATATTTGGATGAAAATTGGCGTCCGGAAGCTTTTCGACATGAGAAATTTGATTTTGATGACAATATGACTCCTATTTGCAGGGAGCGCCACATACATGTGTTTTAACTGTTTTGAAGAGTAATTACTTTTCGTCGGTAACTGTATAAAACTACTGAGTGAAAAAAATACATTTCCTTGACTTTTTACGTAAAAAATGTCTCTTGGTAAAAATCTCTACGAGCAACCGTTCTCAAGATACTTGGAATGGAAATAATCAATACATGTCATGATTGACAAAAAATAAACATGTTGAGTAGATCGTTATTTGACTGAAATGATTAATTTGGGAACTTTTTTTAATTAATCATAATTCTTTCTTCGAAGAAATGATAAAAAAAAATTCTGTTGAACTTTTGGCATAAAAACATTTCAAATTTATGATTTCAGTCTAATCACTATTTAGTCAACATGTTTAATTTATGTCAATGATGAGAGGTACTGATAATTTCGATTCCAAATATCTCGAGAACCATTACTCGTAGCGATTTTTACCAAGACACTATTTTAACGTAAAAAACGTCGTAAATGTATATTTTTAACTCAGTAGTTTTATACAGGTACCAGTGCCGGCGGAAGGAAAATGTTGAGACCGGGCGAGTGCCCTATCTGGCGCCCCCCCCTAGTTATTATGTTATTATAACTCTCTCTTTCTTTCAATACTATACTTTAACTACAACCAAGCATATTTATGCTACTTTAACAATAAATTTTCACTTAAAGACTTCAAAATTCTTCTCTTCGTTCAATCGTCTGTGGTTGTCGTTTTTTCTTGGTATTTCGAGTCAAATAATTGTCTTTTTGAACCACATGTTACAATTTCAAATAAACCATATGCGAAAATGTAAAAAAATAACATATGTCATAAAGTAGAAATAGACCGGGGGTGCCATTTAAAAATCAAAAGTTGTAGTAATTTCCGGTGAAACAGTGCGACCAAAAACAATAGAATACGTCAATTAATCCTAATTTATGTCGTATACTAACATACCAAATCTCGTTTTTTCATCTAAAAAAATAAACAAGTTATAAGGGTGATCAACTTTTGAAGCACCCGGTATATCGAGTTATAAGAAATAGAATTCCAACTTCGGCAGTCTCGTTCTGGTATAAGTGATCTTTGAAAACATTAGTATTTAGTTGCAAGCAGTTGCGTTATTTTTCTATAATAATTTAAAAAACTTTACTTTTTCACAATCAATTATTTCGTGCAGAATCAGTAGGTATATGATGAACACACAGTTTTGCTGGCTTCAAAATGAGGTTCGGCCAGTGTTTGAGATGCATTCCTTGTTCAAATGAGAAAATTCTACGATTCTACTACCATTTTCCGTGTATTACTACATATTGAATCCGGAACAATCAAAACCATCAAAAGATTGATATCTTTTCCCACTACTGTTAATAAATTAATTTAATTAATGTATCAAACTTATAAGATTTTTTATAATAAGGATATCAGGATCCTCTTCAGCTTCTTGCGAATGAATTTTTGCCTCATATAATTTTAGGGCATATCAGCATTAATAACAAATAAAGGCATGGATAGTGGGTAGTAAAAAAAGTGAGATTTTGAGCAGTAAGTCTAAAACTGTCAATTTTGCTGGCTCTTGACCCAAACCAATTTGTTTAGAAAAAATCTATAACAAGAATTATAGAAAGAAGGTTATTTACATAAAGATGATAGCTTTTTGAGTTATAAGTACAGTACGTCTGTCCGTTCTGTGGCTACGGGGTATCCGTGAGAGGGGAAACGATATTCTCTCGATGTTTTTTGAAAAAAATTAGACGACCCAAGTAGCATTTTCACGACTTGCGACCACATGTTTACTAAACACAACGTTGGATTAGTTACAAAAAATAGTTAGCTCCCTACCTTGGGTATTAAAATAAATTTAAACGTTTTTATAACGTTGTGCCGACGTTCGACTAGTACTACAGCAAAGTAGAAGCTTCTGCGACGTCGAATAACCGTTGTCATGTAAACTTTTTTGCTTAAGTGGTCTTTAAGTGATTCGGACAACGTAGTTACAACGTTGGACAATATAGAGTTTTCCGACGTCAGTTTCAGGACCTATATTCCAACGTTATGCAAACGTCGTCTGTTTTACTTATTCCAACGTTGTTTAGATTTCCTTATTCTTACGTTGGTAGGACGTCGAGGCACTACCTTTTTGCAACTGTATTGAACCATAACCTTAAATCTTAAATTTTCACTTCATTGTTCTGTTCAGTCAGACAGTTCAGTGCTGTTTTTGTTTTTATAAAAAAAACTTATTTAAAATGGGACATAAGAAAGGTACATATAAAACTAAATTTAAATATACATCGGCATATATTACCGATAGTTTATCCACTCCCTCGTTTATTTAGATTATAGAGGGCGGCACAAGCTAGACTCTAGGATGACTAAATTAGGCAATCTTGCGACTAGTATACTACCTGTTAAGGCTGAACTGCGACTTTATTAGTCCAGTATGCGACTACTCGAACTACTCCATCTTAATCTCCCAAAACAACAAAGTGAAAGCCGCCATGTTGTTAAATAAGAAAATGTTTCGTTCCTAAAATATCAATTCTTGCTTTTTGAATACATTAACTTGAAATATTTGACCCTAAAAAACACGCGGAAACAATTTTTTCGACTGCGAATAAATTATTCTCATTTTACTAAAAAAAAAAAATTCAAGAAAATTTTTAAAACTTCTTTAATTTTAAGGCCCATTAGTATTTTTCAAAGTAGAAACAATACATTTATCAATAAAGTTGTCTGCGTTTAACTTTTTTGCCTTGGGTAACGATTTACAGAGTCGGTTAAGGTGTTTCAATAATTATGATCTTCAAACATCCTCCACACATAAATACTTTTGTTTTGTTTTCCTTCACTGTCATCTGACATATGTCTCTAACTAAATCATAAAAATAATATTTTTACTATAATTATCCCAAGTTAGGATAAAACGCGACTTAGACGCCATATTAGTTTTGTATTTCTGTGAATTAGGATTTTAAACAACGTTGCAGTTTGTACTAAATTAGGCTTCTAGCCAACGTCGGTATCCAACGTCGTTTCGACCCAAAAATTATTCTCCAAACTAGTGCAGACTAGGGTTGGCACGAGGTTGTGCCGACGTTGCGCCCCGACGTTTGGTCGCGTGACACAACGTTGTCCCGACGTCCAAATGCTGCTTGGGGACGCATCCCATCAATAAAAATTCGACAAATTTGCAAGTAGCCAATAAAATGAGTGGGCGGAGCGATTTGCGGTGACGTACTCGTCAAGTCGACGTATAAAATATACTGTTGTTTATTTAAATGTTTTTTGTCTGCATTCCTTTCATAGACACAGATCCAGCAGACGAACTGTAAAATACCACGAACAAATTAGATTTATATTTTTTTATTTCATTTTGTTTAAGAATTCGCAAATCCCAGTTTCAAATCAAATCTATCCCAAAACTTTCGTGCTAAAGATTTTTTGAGCATAGTAAACTATAATAGGATAGGTCTAGGATATAGTAGTGATTAATGTTTAGTCAGATATTTTCGCTATGTTGTGTAGTAACTGCTGTATTTTAATGTGAAAATTGATAGTATCGATTAATAATTGATCTGGTTATTCGTTACTATTTGTTTAGATTACTGTTTTTAAGTGTTTTAGTTGCTGTCGTGGCGCCCCTCGCATTCGGGGCGCAGGATCGTCCGGCCCTGACAGGTACGGACAAAAAGTTATTACTAAAAATCGAAATAAAAATGAAACTTTTACACCCTGTATCTCTGAAACTAAGCATTTTAGGACATACATTTATACGAACTTTTTTACTTATTTTTATCTGCAGAATATGCCGCCGATGATTCCGGGATACAGTTCGAACCACCCCGTATATTAATTATTTATCAAATTACCCGGTTTCTTCTGTTTCTTAGATGCCTTTGCCTTTTTCTGCTTTTTGGGCTTCGCAGGTGGCAACTCAGTTTCTGGATAGAGACTCATATAATCCTTAACCAACTCTGGGCAGTTAATTTCATGATTTTTCGTCGGATACAAATCCATTAGACCTTTCACAAGGGCATCGTCCAACTTCTTTATTTTCAGCTTCTTCATCACTTTGAAAAACTCATCAGGGATGATGGGAATGTCGGGCAGAGACAAAATGAAATGACTATAAAAGGCGATAAGTTATTTTTGATTGGATTTTTAGAAGAAGATGTTGGTTCTACCCAAAGTCCTTTTTGGCTTTTTTCCTCTTGGGTTTCATTAAAATATATCTACATCTGTCGTATATTAGTTTGTGTACGTTTGGACCTTTTATTTCATAATCGCTCAATATTCCGCCTAGTTTTACTGTTTTGCCAGTAGCAATAATTTTTAATAAAACCTAGAACAAGATTGTTTTTATATATTTTCCATCTATCATAATTTTATTCCAAGTACTTTTAGCGTTTCGAATGAAATTTTGAGGGTAAAAGATACTATAAATACGACATATTTTAAAGCTAAAAAAGAGTCGACGTATTTACCAGGGACGTGCATATGGGTAATCTCTGGAATATTTTTCTAAAAAAAGAATGTACGCCATTGACTTTTTATTCAGTTGTTTTCGAAATAGTGTAAGCAGTTTAATGCTGATTAAAAGTGGTCTCTTGATATTTTGTCGATTTCCGCCTCCTTGATGAGATTTGTTGAACATTACTCTTGTAAAAATACCTACTGTCATCAATTCAGTAAATGTGAGCTTTTACTAGTTAGTTTCTGAACCTTAACTTATACTTCTAGCTTTAAAATGTTGTAGTCATCTATTGGACAGTTAAGCTTCATTCAGAACCTCGCAATTAGTGGAATAAATTAGTGGTTTCAATTAGCATAGAAGTTTGTTCCTTTAATTTCAATGTAAGCATTCAGAACTTCAAAATTATTAGTGGTAGTCTTTTTCAATTAGTAGAAAAAGTTATCAAACTTTTAACTTTTTCACTAATTATACTTCAAAATTTTCGAGAAATATCATTTTGGCCTTTGATTATCTTCCGTCAAGAGAAATTGTGACAAGAAATCAAAAGTTGAATGTTTTATAAGCTAAATATTAAGCTTTCTCTATGGATACAACTGACAACGCAAGCTGTTACTAAGATACATTTTAGTTTACGATCATTCACAATGTCTAAAAAACACAATTAAAATTAATAGAATCCTAGCAACAGATTGCGGTAATCAGTTGTAACCACAGAGAAAGCCTAATATTTAACTTATAAAACAGCAAACTTTTAGCACGGCACATAAAACAATCAGCACGCCAACTCTACTCAGATTCCATTGTTTAAAATTTCTATAAAATTTGACCTTGTCGGCGCCATTATGGTTTCTAGTCAGGGCCGGATTAAAACGTATTAAAAAAATTCTCAGAAAATACGACAGGGTCGTATTAAAAAAATACTGTAATTGACTGAAACTGAATTTTATTTACAATACTTTTGTCCAAACAAATGAATCGTTAACCGCGCATACTTCTCGAAAAGTAAAAATGAAAAAATCAATTAAATATTTCACTGTAGAGAATAGACAATTAAAATTAAAAAACATGCAACTAACAAAAACATGCCAGGAGTTACAAACAAGAATTAAAAATATACCAATAAAATATTTATCGAACAATATAAAGAGACTACGTACAAATTATGCCCATCAATGGGCGTAGCAAATTTTATTAATATTCAAATTTCACAAATTAATAAATCCACAATTTTTTTTGAGAAACTTTTATTTTCTTCATGGCAGGAAATAAAGTAGGTACCGCATTGTATTTTATACGGTTATAAAGTGAATTGGTAAACATTTTAAATTCAAAGTGAACAGAACACAACCTGGGGTGCAACTTTGTTCAAGTTAGCAACCGATCGTTTAGAAGCGATGTCAAAACCAGATCGATACTATGTTCATTGCAAAACTATTGCCGCTCAAATGCTGCGAAATATTGTATCACTATCACACTCTTGCACACGTGTCTAGACTGTCGCCTCGCCACAAAGCGAGAAATCAGAATATCGCTACGAATCGATGTTGCTACTGAACATAGTGCATCAAGCTACAAATTACTTTGCTATCGCTTTGAAACATAAACAAAGTTGCACCCCTGTACTTGTGGACCTTATTTATATCTTCAATCAAGTCTTCTCCATTAGCTGCAATTGCCCATGTTCTTGCCCTAAAAATGTATTGTTAACTTATTTTCGATATACTCATTTTATTTATTTTTATAATTATATTTAAATGAATAATATAATGATTTTTAAATTTAATTTTTAATGTCTAGATTCTAGATACAACATTAAATTTTATTTTACTAAATATTTAACATTAAATCTTACTAATATTAAAGTTTGTTAAGATTTTTAATTAGATCTTCCTATTTAGCTGAATGTCCTAATATGTATACTACTGTTTTTTTCACAACTAAAATATTGTCAAGGTGTATTACTGGTTGCATAACTGCATGCTGCTAAAAAATCGCAACGTGCATTGAGGAACCTGGCGCATTCGCCAGAAAGTAAAGAAAATTATAGAATTCTTTAGAAAAATCTAGAAACAACCGCCAGGGGGTATATAAGGCCCGCGCTTTGACAGTTGGACAAGTTTGAAGTTTGAAGTCTAAAGTCTGAAGATAGTCTGAAGTCTGAAGTTTGAAAATACCGCGAAATACCGTTAGAATAATAGTAGTTGCATAAGTTGTGTTGTAAATAGTATAAGTTGTGTGTACAGAGTGAAACAAATAAATTCGTTAAGTATTTTATCGTGAGTTTAAATAGTGGACCCACGGAATCCGTAACAATATGTTAAAATAATTAATCACATATATACATACCTAATAAGATCTCTAGGAAACAGAAAGAAACTTTTATTGAACAACAAAAATAAAACTACTAAAACAAATTATATTACATAATAATAATAATAGCTCCCGTATATAGCGTTTGACGCCTTGGGAGTAGCAAGGTACAGCTTGCCATACTAGAGCCGTTCGGTATACAAAGGAAGGTAATGTGGCTAGCACTACGCTTCAACCGCCTATTATTACCTCAGGATTGTGAATCCCAAGTACTCATTTAAGGCTGAGTCGACCTAGGTACCCAAACTATTTTTATTTTAATAAAAATTGTCGGTTGATGAAATGCCGGGTTTGGGATTCGAACCCACTACCTTGAGATTGGTAGACGAAAGCCTGTACCTCTACGCCACCGGGCACCTATTGGCAACTATATTACATAAGAAACGAAAATAAAACTAGAAAAACCAAATATATCACATAATAAACAAAAATAAAACAACAAAAACAAAATATATCACTCAAGAAAAAAATCAAAATAAATTAAGCCGCACGCTACTGAGTCGAATCTGCCTAACTGTGTGTTGTCGCTGAAAAAACTACGACACTGGTTACTTTCTGTTGATGGAAACGCAAATGGCGGCGTGCGCGAGGATATGCGCGTAGCGTTCCCGCCAAAGCGAGTTAGCCTGCCGTGTGATTTATATGCCGTGCTTTTAGTATCTAACTATATTTTCTCTTGACGGATGATAATCAGAGGCCAAAATGACATTCCTCTCAAATTTTAAAGTATAATTAGTGGAAAAGTTAAAAAGTTTGTTAACTCTTTCTACTAACTGAAGATGTATATCACTAATTTTGGCGTTCTGAATGTTTACATTGAAATTAAACGAACAAACTTCTACGCTAATTAAAACCACTAATTTATTCCACTAGTTGCGAGGTTCTGAATGAAGCTTTACTTTAACATACACAATGAGTTATTATTGATTTAATAATTGAAGAGTGGAAATACCAAAGGGGGTAATAAGTCATTGCATTAGAAACGTAATAAATACCATGCTTCATGTCCTAACAAAAGTTGCAAGTGCCAAGCAAAAGCGTCTATTTTTTATGTATATTAATAGTATTTTAATATATATTTTAAAAATGTATTATTTTCAGATCCACTGTGTTTTTCTCATTTATCTTGAAAAAATAATTTTGGCACTTACCCCCTTTCGTATTTCCACTCTTCAATTGTTGATATACTTAACTGGTTTAGATGTTTTATTTATGTACATATTTTCCATGTCTAGTACTTTTAGGGGATCTTCCGGATCCTTTCCTTTTGACACTAAAACTGTTAGTAAGGAATGGGCATCGTCAGGCGTGTAAATATTATTGCCTATTCTAACAATTTTTAAAGAGCGGTTCTTCAATATTGCACCACGAATCACTCCCAGAGACTCATCAACTAATCTATAACATAAAAAACGAGATTTTTAAAATCAGCCTATATTCATTAAATTAATTTTTAACGCCACAAATGTTTGGGAGTGATTCATCCCTTGATGAAGTTAGAATCGACACGCGCGCTATCATTTTTACATTAAAAACGTAAATTTTTACCGCAGACGTAGGTTTTTAGCGGCCCGGTCTAATCATGTGCCTGCGCTCCTACTACTTATTCTAAAATGTTAGCGTGATTGACAAAGACGATACTATATCGCGTTTCTTTGATTGATTCGTTTTTGTGCGTCAGTCCATTGGTGTGCTTACAGTGCAACCAATGGGGCATTCCATTTTATATTTATAACCAAATATATGTTTTGACAAGACTTTGACAGTTAAAACAACAAATTACAACAGATTATATATTGATTATTGTATGACTTGAAAGACCACGACACTGGAATTAAGTTTTATGTGACCTTGAACAGATTAGTTCACATGGTAGCTACCGATGAATCACTCCCAAACATTCGTGGCGTTTACTATACTAACAGCTGTTAAATTGAAGGATTTGAAAGTCATGTTTGAAAAAGTGACATATAATGCTATTTTAATATTAATATTATTTTCAATTTATTTCTGTAATCTCGACATTTTCCGTTTCCTCAATAGCCTACAAATTTTGTGGAATACCACCCAAAATACACACTTTTATGCAAATGCCTAATAATGTTAAGGCTTAATTTTATTTCAGAAGAAAACATCAAGAGAAAAAAAACTGAACCTGACAAACTATTCGTATTTAGGTAAAGGTGTGGATCCGGTGGCTGACCTTGAAGCCCATATTTGCTGCATTTGATCAGCGATACTACGCAAGCGCACATCGTCAATGTTGCCAAATTGCAGTTTATTTTCGAATTATTTGCAGTTGAAATTTTTTTTTGGAGTGTTAATTGGTGTTAATCAATAATAATACAAATTCTATGATTAATTTTATAATTTCAGGTTTATCTTGATATCCAAAATTAAGGAATGATATATAAAATTGAATATATAAAATTGTAATAATAATAACATTTATTTATATATTTACATTAGAATTAAAAATTATCATTTACGGATTTTTTCTTAATGCTTTTAAACTTATTAGAATTATTTTATTTCTTTCAAGTTATTTAATTTCTAGTTATTTACAGGCAACAATAGTTTTGATTATATGTATATTGATGTATTGAAGTACTACCATGACGAGTATTATAGAACAATATACGTCAATGGGAGATAGAGGTAACATTTTACCTATAATGTTACTAATATAATATACTTTGATTATGGTGTGTATATATCAAGTTAGTGGATTAATAGCAATTTTAGACATATATTTTATCGAAGAGTGTGGTGATAAGACTAAAATAAGCTTTATGTTTTATCTTTTTCTCTTTAGAAGGGAGATGGTTTGTGTCGTAGAATACATTACAGTATTTAATATCGTGTACTTTGATATTCTTTTCTTAATTTACTGTAATTTCTTGTTTCCTATAATGCCAAATCTTTACAATATGGTGAAGATTGAGTTTTGATCTTATTATTTTTATACCTGTGTTTATACAAGACCAAATTAAGACTTAGTTAGTTTGTGATTTATATTAAGATCTTTCTTATAATATTTGTTATGTCTTAATCTTAATAATATATTATGCTTTGTCTGGAAAATAAATGTTAAAATATCTTAATTTTGCATATCTTATTCCATCCTTTTATTAGGAAAAATATGGTTTATAAATCATATATGCTAAGAAAATCACATAAATTAGGTGTAAGAATAGAGAAATCTTAAGGTAGCAGAAAAATTAATTCAATATATGTATAAGCAGAATTAAACAAGGTAACTGTTAATGTTGCTGAAGCTGATTCTACAATTTTAATTACGGAGGCTAAAAGGCCTTTTAAGGCCTCCGTAGTTTTGATGGAATGTTAAAAAGAACTATTATGAACATGACATGGAGCTACAGCGTTTAAAAATTAAAAAAAAAGAAAAAACTTGGACACATCCCTTTTAATTTCCCGAATTTTTTTTCCCGAATAAAGCCCTTTTTAAACGTAGCATAATAATCTAGAGCAATTAGATTAATTATAGGAATCTAGAGTTTTATTTCTATTTAATTTTATTGACTATGAAAATACATAATAAGCGTTCACGTGTTGTGCGAAATATTTAAAATGTAATAAAGATCGCTGTCATTTTATATGGGAAATGTCCTCAATCGTCATTTCTCAGCCAAGTGAACACCGTTTTCTCGATCATACGGTATATATTGGCAAAAAAACACTGAAAAGCACATATTTGTTTTCTACTGAAAATAATTCCAAAATAACTTGCAATCTGGCAACATCGAAGATGTGCGCATGCGTAGTATCTGTGACTATATGCAGCAAAAACTCGTTTCAAAAGATCAGCCACCGGATCCACACCATTACCCGTATTTATAGTGATTTACAGTAATTTTATTACATTATACGAATATACTCGTTGATTATTGGTCTGAAATCAATATGACAATAAATGTAATAGGAAAAAAAAATAAATGTGGCAACTTCACATTTTTTACAGCAGAGCTACCGAGAGCTACCTACTGAATCCTCAGCGCAAAAAATAAATTCCGGTAGTTTCGGGAGAGTAGAATATCCGGGAAAGTTGAGTTATTGAATGTTATTGGGGCACCTAACAACGCCCTAATTACGCTCTCCTTTACGCGTTAACATTTTTTCGGTAATTTTATTAACATTTGAAATTGTCACAACACAACACGACGTCGACGCCTAGTTCGAATTCTTTTTCACTTATTTTACCCGAAACGTTACATCACACAAACCTCATACCTGAGCGTTTTATAGTCTCAATAACTGCACTAGCAAAAAACTAAAATACTTTTTACGATTTCAATATTATTTTAATGCGATCAACATGAACTGTAACCGGGACGGCAGCATGAAATATACCGTGCTGGCAACTGTTACTTTTGGGTCGGAACCAGAGATATAGAAGTGGGAGAATGAGCTTCGACGAGTGCGCATCCAAATTTTTGTCGACGACAAGATGGCAGACATCTTCCAGGTCTCGCTGTCACTTCCCCTCTTTAATTGGCATCTATTTGTTTTGTTTTGTTTTTCGTTTGTGTTGTTATCTAGTTAAAATTTATTATTATCTCAATTATTCTAAACACTAATTCAAAAAGGCTTGTTGTATATTCATAGTCATTCTAAGAAAGCTAATACGCCGGGAATAATGATTAGTTTTCATGTGTAAGTTTATACAACATAATCGTGTTTACAGATGATTCAAAACTGTTTATTTTTAGTTTTCCTAAAGACGATTTGTAAAAATCGTGATTGTAATTGGGAATGGTCAAAAATAAGTGTATGATGTGGCCATTTAAAGAGGATGTTTTTATTACATGTGGACGAAAAAGATACTTGGAATCAATGTTCGTGCTTGTGTAAAACAGTGCACTCTTATAGTGTCCATGAAAGCACAAGTTCAAGTGACCAGAAATATATCAAATAAGATTGGTCCTTACTTGACAAGAAGATTATTTGGAGGAAAAGAAAACATAAGATAGGGTATTTTATCGAACAGCGAAAATTTAACACTTTTATTGTAAAGTTTGTTGTAGATAGTTGTAGTTTTGTGCTAAATATTTCTAACATTAGCAGCAGCCGTGTTCAGAGTGTCAAGAGGAGGAGAATTCAGTTAATTAGATTTATGCACAGTTACAGGTATGAAGGCTTTTTCAAACATAGTATCGAGTTCTATAGTCAACATTTTTAGTATTCCTACAACTGTAAAAACAAGGAACATTGGACTGAAAAAATGGCAAGATTTATATAGGAAGAAAGGGTATTATGCCAATAAGAAAATTAAATCTGTAGGCAGAAGTTTCTTATTTAAAAACTGTTATGGGCATATATTAATTTGTATCTGTGCCACAAATCACTGAGAAAAATCATATAATATTCATAATTGTTAACGAGATGATATTTAAAGAGTGTTAAAAATGAGATTATTAGTCATGAAGCTTACAATGTTACTTTGTTTCAATATTACACTTTTATTCTTGTAAAATCTATGATGAAGCTCAAAAGCATTTTGCAATGGCCTTAAATTGTGAGCCAGGATTTATAGCAAAGGTATTTGATGCAATGAAACTTAATCAGGGGATTGTCAATCCCATGTTTTTAAATAGATAAAATACAGGCCAAAGTTGACAATATTACAGTTGAGAAGAAACTATTTTATCTTAAAAAAAATTTCTTAAAATTCTGAGATCATATAATCTAATTTTCTTAATAATAAATTAGGCATATGTATGTTGTACATACAGAATTTTGGTATGGACAAATAAGGATCGACAAGCTTCTTTTGTGCAAAAAATAAATTATTTTTTGTAGTATTAAGACAAACGATAATGTGTTTTACAAACTTACCGAAAACTGTTTTTTTTTATAATAAAATATTTAGGAATAATTTGGGTTGTTTATCAATATATTAATGACTTGAATTTTGACAAATTGAATTTGTATCAAAATAATTTTACGAAATATAAAATTGATGTTCTATTACAAGACTGAGTTTTTTTTGTCGACAAAAACCAGGATAAATACTAATAATAATACCCATAATAAAATCAATGATGTTTATGTATTATGAAAATATTTGTTAGAGGACATGTTATGTAACAGTTTTTGTAACACAATTTGAAGGGACGAATAAAAAAAAATAAAACAAAAACATATTTTTTCTAGGTTTATATTAAAAATACAAGGTAAGTAATCATCAAAAATAATTATGAACCAAATGTTTTTTATGAATATACAACTTGAACAAAAAGTTGTTTAGAACAATTTTTACCAAATTTGCAAAAATCTTAAATTGAAACGCGTAATTCTGTACAAGTAAACATGAAATAATTGTAAATACTTATTTAATGGCATTTCGAGTGTTTAACGACGAAAAGGGCATCTGTCCGTAGCGTCTTTTGTCAGAATATTCGTATATTTAGTGTATTATATACCAATATTTGTACGCAGTTTTGAAACTGCTAATTAAATAAATCATATTAATGTTAACTAACCATAATAAATGATAGAATTTCACTAAATTTAAATTGCCCCCCGTATGGTTGAAAACAGCAAATTGATATTTGATTACTTATAGATTACCACCTATATACAAAATGACACGGAGACCTGGAATATGGCGCCCAACTTGATTAGACCTTCTGCGCATGTTGAAGCTCATTCTCTATCCCTTCTATTTCTCTGGTCGGAACTTACTTACATGTGTGGAAGTAAATCGGATAGGGATCTTATTAAGTCGGAGTGAAAGAAATGCGACGGTGTGCTGTTGCGGCATTGCCGGTACGTCTTTCCCTATCGGGTAAAATAAAATCACGATCGCAAACCGCTTATTTTTAAACGACTTTTTTTTCGAAAATATAACTAGATAAAATCATTAGATATGTTCCTGAGCATCTAAAATAGAATTATAAGGATATCGTTAGGATAATCAATTATTTTTAATAGATTTTGAAATATATCGATTCATTTGGAATTCAGAGTTCTAATAGCGCGACCATTATCGAATACCAACTCAAACTTAAACAAACTAAAACTTATTTTTATCACAATTGCAAGTGTTTCTAACTTGCACTTAAAAATTTTCAAGCTCTGGGGAAAATTACAACGACTCGTTAATAAATAAACATATAAAGTATCGCCAGACGTAATTAAATAGTGAAGCTGAACGCATGATGAAGGTACACTTTTCACTAGAACTTTAAGTACTAATTGTGGTACTAACGTGGTACTAACGTGGTACTAACGTGGTACTGATTGGGTCGACCGGTGCACTGCGACAAATCTGCTATATCCCCTTCCACGTCTCTTAGAAATGTGCGCAGTTTCTCGGTTTATTTCGTGCGTTTGGCAACGTGTTTACTGTTCCCTCTTTGTTCAGTACATTATAAACGCATTGTACTCTTCTTACATACGGAAATCTCGACCCAAGACTAACCTTTGCCTGCCCTTAGTATACTGATAATTTCTGATTTCTGCCGTTGAAGCGCTGCGGTCGGAATTTGTTGAAATCAACTGAAATGTACCTAGCCTATACACGTAAATATATCTTTAAAAAAGTATTTGATTCCTCTAACCTGTTGTTGCTTAGATCCAACTCCTCTAAAGTATCCGTCGCTCGTATGTACCTAGAGATTGGTCTGGCAGCCTGTGGATCTCCTATTCCGTTCCAGGCCAAATTCAATACTTTAATCCTGTTGCTTCTAGTCAAAGCATTAAATAGTCTCTTGTTGCCTAAAATGCATCTACGATTTACGTTAAACCTCGTAAACATTGTTGCCAAGTCTTTTTACATTGCGTCGTAAAAAATCCGCTCCAGGATAAATCGATATCTTCGATATACTTGTTTGCCATAAGTATTTTCTCTAAGGCTTCGCCGGATGCTTCGGTTAGGTTGTTGTGGCTGATATTCAGTTTTTTCAGTGACATATTTTCTGACAGTCCGTTTTGAAGATGTAGGAGTCCATGGTCGCCTATATCGTTGAAGCTCAGGTCCAACGATTTTATCGACTGGAGGCTGGCTAAGACCTTTCCTAATTTTTCAGCCCCTATACAAAAGAAAATTAGTAAAATACGATGTACCGAGTGTTTAATGGTTGCATCTCGAAAATTATTAGCCGTAGAGCCTGCGGAAAGAAATATTTATGACTAATAAGGTCATGAGAAATTGCTGGAAATGATTTTGACTTTCTAAAAATGTTCCTAGAGGGTGCAACTGCTATGGCGAATGAGAAAATTTTGCCTAGATAAGGTGTGCTATACATAATGGCATCATAATCATCTGTAAATTTCGGATTTTTTTTTGTTAGAACCATTGTGCTTTATCTACTAAAATGCAGTGGTGGGGGAAGGTTAGATCCGTTTTTTTAAAAATGTTAATAACTCCCGACTGGGTAATCGAAATCCAATAAACTACAGCTCATTTAAAAGAGCTCGTTTTACTCTATATTATACCATATAAACTATAATATCTAGCCTTTGCTTTCAAACTTTCAAATATCAAAGGTTTGAGGTGAGGTTATAATAAGTTGAAGCTTTAAAAACACATAATGTATTTAAGAAAACAGAAGAAATATGGCTTTAAATATAATATTTACATCATATTATCTCTATTACACCTCATACAAAGGAAAATTATTCATAATATCAATACATAGTTTATTAACGTAGTTTTCGTGTAGTTAATGAACGGGAAAAGACGTAGTTTTTGAAGAAAAACTACAAGTAGTTAATCTGGTAAATTACGTCTTAATTAACTACTTCCGAACCCTGCTTACAAGTTAATAAACATTAAGCGTTTTTTTATAAAAATTAAATACGATGTGTATGAAATTATAGCTGGTAGTAAAGAGTAAAAAACTTAAATAGGTAATTAGCGAAAAAAGGTAAAGTAAGGAGCGCTCTTTTAAACGAGCTTTAATTTATTGGATTCCAAATATCCACTCCGGAGTTATCAATATTTATAGAGGGTGAGTCTTAAATATGTGCAAATAAAGGTAGTATATTTCGACACCAGAAACACGTGTATGAGGTTTTATTCGCAAAAAAATTATTGAAAATTTGGAATTTTTTGAAAAAGTTTTGATTTTTTTTTTATTTTTAGTTAAAAAACATCATATCTTGATATTAAGGCAGCATAGGTAACAGATTAAATTTATAACAAAGGAAACCCAGAAAAGATACAGTGGTTCTCAAAATTTAAGAAAAAAATATTTTTTTTTATTTTCAAATTAAAATAACTCGGTTATTTTTACTTATTAGAAAAACGGCAAAGAAAATATGTATATGTTTCTTTTCTCACCCTGCATAAAAACAAATGTAACTTTCTTCTGCCAGTCCACTTTAGAAGGGAGTGTAAAATGGTTCAAACAAAAAAAAGTTCAAAATTTGCTGTAGATTATGATGCTATTATTTATATTACAAACTTATCTAAGTAAAATTCAAAAAACTTTCATTTTTTTATTTGCCATAGTAGTTGCACTCTCTAGCAGCCATTTTAGAGACTTGAAAATAATTTCCAGCAATTTCTCATGACTTTTTTAGACAGAAATGACAGAAATATTGTTTTTTGTAGCCTCTACGACTGATAATTTCGAAGATACAACCACAGATTATACACATTATAGACTTTGTTTTTTTCTTTATTGTCTTTCGTGGTTCCAATTTTCGGAATCGGGAACTAGTTAGGTTACTACTTTGCGCACATAGCACGCCCACTTATGACCTCTAAAATTGTGCACAGCGCCTGACCGCCACAGTTATTAGACAGATATCGGAAAACCGAATAGCGTCATGCAGTATTTACGCGTACATTATCATGGTTACGATATGCGCGAGTCAATTTTTAACGCAACACCCGCTAATAACGTTACCGCCTCACGTAATAAACGTTTTAAAATTGCTTAAATGAGCATGTGCGAGTATTTGACAACCGGGACCGGCCGGCGAGATCTTTTATTTTAGGTTATGTTTGAATTGTTTTGAATTATTACTTTAGTTTTATTAGGTAATTTGATACTTAAGTAGCTGGGATTAGTTTTAATTAAATGAATATGGCCCAAAATATGGATTCCACCTCTTCCAATATTAAAGAACCTATAAAAAGAGGCTTAGGTTTACAGCAGATGACGACTTAGCCCTTCTAAGAGAATTTGTTACTTGCTGCCCTAAACCCACTGGCAGATGTTGAACAATAAAGCACTGGAAATAAGCACTTTAGCCCTTTAGTTTTAAAATACCTAGTAAACAAAACAATTTCAAAGTTTTAAATTCAAAGTTAGGTTAAGTTTAAATAGCGGACGCGACGCGAACAGAATTCTTTCCGATCCGATAACTATAAATGAAGAGAGTTAATACCACCTCACGTAAAGAAAATAACACCTGGCCTTATTAACGTCCACGCACGCTATTCGGTTTAGCGATATCTCTCTATTACGCTGTTTATTGTTATTTTACACGAGTTTATTTTTGCGCACAGGAAATTTTACTTGTTTGCACATAGTCATAAAAAACAATTTTCGTACCACGAATTAGGGATAAGATTTTTATCTGTATACATATAGTATACCTAATCTGTGATACAACCGAGAGCTATTCTTAGTGGAAAACCCGGTACAACAAACTGTTAAACACTTATCTCAGATAATGCAAAACACTATGTACTACACTTACTACAATATATCTGTTTAAATACATCTACTGGACATTAATAGTTCTGGTAAATAGAAAAAAAATGGTAAACAGTCAATACGTTGGTGAACATTCATGTCATATTATAAGCTTTAATAAAAGCTAATACTTGCAAATCGTAGCAAATTATACCTTCCTCTCCAATTCTACATTCTCTCAAGCTTAAATAGTGCAGAGCAGTGTTTTCAACAATGGTGTCGCACAGCATAGATACCATTTCTACGTTCAACCAATTATCTTCAAGAATTAGGTTTGTTACACGCGAGTTTGGTTTTAGTGTTTCAGTTAATGCTTTAAACTGTTTGGAAGTTAGTCCATAATACTAAAATTTGATAAAATTAGTGCAGTATGAAAATTCTAATAATTAAATTTAATTCGATTGGATGTAGCTGTATATTTGATATTAAACTTTGAGTTACGTAATCGAGGGCGCAATTTTTAAATTCATTGTTGTCATAGATAAATGCAACAAGTTTAGATTGGTCGCGACCGTTTTACGCGATCTGGCGCTGCTATAGCGGTCGCTAAGAACAACGGCAAACAAAAACAGAAATAATTTTCTCTTGTCAAAGTCAGAATCTTCAAAAATCATAATAATCTTTCAAAATCTAAACCGCTCTCATTAAAGAAATTCCGAAAAGTGTTTATAGCGTCCATTTTCAAAGTAATTATCGCTATCTTGTGAGTTTAATTCAATTTTTATTTACTCCAACCGGTGATAATTGTGAAAAAGTGGCATTAAAAACTTAAAAAGCTGTGCTGTGTGTCGGTTTCCAATGTTTCATAGGTATTTCATACATGCGTCCTTTAATAAAATAAAGTTTCTTGTATGCAACACACTGTATTTTATTTATAAAATTAAACGAAAATAATAATAAATTTGAATAAACAATATTTGGCGATATAATTCCGGAAAAAGCCGAACCGCTCCGAAATTTTCAAAAGTTTTGGGTCGCGACCGTTGCAAGAAGAGCGCCAAATACAGTGTTTACATTGTCCTTATGGGCACTATCCAATCTAAACTTGTTTCATTTATCTATGATTGTTGTCAACCATGGATATATTCTACGCCGAGCTGATATAGATTTCAAATAAAATAGTTCCGGCCTCGGGCGCTAGATGGTAGTGCAATTAATTTTTAGGTCTTGAATATAGTCACTGTATTTTTAGGTTAAGAAGTTGCTACTAGTTATTGCCAGATGGCGTTTAGTCAGATTTTTTTTGTAGTTGCCGTAGTTTCCAACGGCCATTGTCATACTATTGTCGAATTCTCAAAAATATTGTCGTTGTCATACATAGATAAAAGAAAATAATCTTCTATTAAGTTGTCATAGCGCCAATCATAATATCAAAAATGATTATCAAAACGTTTTTCAAACTATAATTTGTTATATGTGTTTTTATTAGACAATTCCTTTTGTTTGTGGCCCTAAAAATATAATGTAAGTCTTTTATTTTTGCCATTGTTTAAGTACCTATTTATATTTACTCCATTTACAAAAAAAACTTTGGGCGTATTACGTTGGTCTTGTTTTATTATAATACACGATGTTTAAATATTTGACTTATAAATAAAAACTTTAAATAAGAAATAATATTTACACATGTTTGGCTTTAATTTTATTTAATAATTGTATAAATTAAATTGTTAAATCTTATTTTTTACACATCACAATTACACATTGTTATTAGTATTGTTGAATTTGTGTAAAAAATAAGATTTAATAATCAAATTTAATTATTTTAGAGTAAAATTCAATAAATACGCTCATTTAAAAAGCCCGCGCTTCGATCCATTTAAAACAAGCCCTACTCAATAGATGGCGCCACTTCTGTAGGACCATTTTTCAGTATGGCAGAGTCCATTCTTTTTCTAGCTAGGTATATTTTATATTCTTTGCTTTAAGCTTAAAAATGTTTACTAGCAGACCTCGCAGTCGAACATTGTTCATTTTAGAACCTCTTTTAATGCGAAGTGTACAAGTCAGCTTAACAGCCGTAAAAAGCTCATCGCAACTTGATTAAAATATTTTGAACGGGAAAGCGGTAGTAATAGCATGGCCCTTTATGTACCTTAAATACTGTTAAGAAAGTTTTGTTGATGTAAATAATAACTGTTTATATATTTATAATTAATTTATTTTTGTTTAGTTTGGTTTGTTTGGTTTTTCTTCTTTTTATTACCAAACTCTCTATACTAATTGACCTATAGTTTCTGGACCCAAAGATCTTTATTGCGAATTGATGTCCATAATTTGAATGATGATTAAGTAATTGCAGGTGTTATTTTTATGATACAACAGTCAAAGTTATGATTAAGCTAAATTAAAAGTAATATTGTATGTTATATAAGAAAAAATAATTATAAATTTTTTGGTGTATACGACACTATACACAATAAGAGATATATAGTATCTTCAACCAGAGGATACATGGCAATGACAGTTGAAGCATGTCATTTTAATTCACAAGTAAATAATATTCTTTGTCATTTTTTTATTGTCGTCTGTAGAAATCTTCCCTGACTCGTTGGAGATAAGCTTCATTCAGAACCTCGAAATCAGTGGAGTAAATTAGTAGTTTCAATTAGCCGTAGAATAGTAGTAGTATTTTTGTTCACCTAGTTATAATGTAAGCATTTAGAACGTCATAATTAGTGGTAGTAATTTTCAGTTAGTGGAAAAAGTTAACAAACTTTTGACATTTCCACTAATTATACTTCAAAATTTGCGAGGAATGTCATTTTGGCCTGTCAAGAAAAATTTTGGTTAGAAATCAGAAGTTTATTGTTTTATAAGCTAAATATTATGCTTTCTCTATGGATACAACCTAAGAACGGTAAACTAATAATTTAGGTTAACTGTTTATAATTGGATAATAAATAAAATTAGGTTAACTGTTCTTGGATACAACATGGATACAACCGAGGATACAGGAGACTAGACAGACTCATAGATAAATGCAACAAGTTTAGATTGGAAAGCCCGAGGGGTGTCTCACTATTGGAATTACCTGTACATTTTCTTGGCAGTCGCTGGCAGTCATTGGCAGTCTTATGGCAGTCGCCTATAATAATTACATGGCAATCATAGGCAGTCTTCTTCATAGTCATTGGCAGTCGCTTAGCAGTGGAAGGATATTTTGGCAGTACGTGTACATTTTTTACGCGAGTGAGACACCCCTCCCCAAGTAGCATTTTCACGACTTGCGACCACATGTTTACTAAACACAACGTTGGATTAGTTACAAAAAATAGTTAGCTCCCTACCTTGGGTATTAAAATAAATTTAAACGTTTTTATAACGTTGTGCCGACGTTGGACTAGTACTACAGCAAAGTAGAAGATTCTGCGACGTCGAATAAACGTTGTCTTGTAACCTTTTTTGCTTAAGTGATCTTTAGGTGATTTGGACAACGTAGTTACAACGTTGGATAATATAGAGTTTTCCGACGTCAGTTTCAGGACCTATTCCAACGTTATGCAAACGTCGTCTGTTTTACTAATTCCAACGTTGTTTAGATTTCCTTATTCTTACGTTGGTAGGACGTAGAGTCACTACCTTTTTGCAACTGTATTGAACCATAACCTTAAATCTTAAATTTTCAATTCATTGTTCTGTTCAGTCAGACAGTTCAGTGCTGTTTTTGTTTTTATAAAAAAAAAACTTAATTAAAATGGGACATAAGAAAGGTACATATAAAACTAAATTTAAATATACATCGACATATATTACCGACACTTCCTCGTTTATTTAGATTATAGAGGGCGGCACAAGCTAGACTCTAGAATGACTAAATTAGGCAATCTTGCGACTAGTATACTACCTGTTAAGGCCGAACTGCGACTTTATTAGTCCAGTATGCGACTACTCGAACTACTCCATCTTAATCTCCAAAACAACAAAGTTAAAGCCGCCATGTTGTTAAATAAGAAAATGTTTCGTTCTTAAAATAGCAATTCCTGCTTTTTGAATACATTAACTTGAAATATTTGACCCTAAAAAATACGCGGAAACAATTTTTTCGAATGCGAATAAATTATTCTCATTTTACTAAAAAAAAAATTCAAGAAAATTTTTAAAACTTCTTTAATTTCAAGGCCCATTAGTATTTTTTAAAGTAGAAACAATACATTTATCAATAAAGTTGTTTGCGTTTAACTTTTTACCTTGGGTAACGAGTTACAGAGTCGGTTAAAGTGTTTCAATAATTATGATCTTCAAACATCCTCCACACTTAAATACTTTTGTTTTGTTTTCCTTCACTGCCATCTGACATATGTCTCTAACTAAATTATAAATATAATATTTTTACTATAATTATCCCAATTTAGGATAAAACGCGACTTAGACGCCATATTAGTTTTGTATTTCTGTGAATTAGGATTTTAAACAACGTTGCAGTTTGTACTAAATTAGGCTGCTAGCCAACGTCGGTATCCAACGTCGTTTCGACCCAAAAATTATTCTCCAAACTAGTGCAGATTAGGGTTGGCACGAGGTTGTGCCGACGTTGCGCCCCGACGTTTGGTCGCGTGACACAACGTTGTCCCGACGTCCAAATGCTGCTTGGGTCGGGAAAGCCCGTATAAATTTTAGATCGCGAAATTATTTTGGGTCGCGACCGTTATACGCGATCTGGCGCTGCTATAGCGGTCGCTAAGAACAACAGCAAACAAAAACAGAAATAATTTTCTCTTGTCAAAGTCAGAATCTTCAAAAATCATAATAATCTTTCAAAATCTAAACCGCTCTCATTAAAGAAATCCCGAAAAGTGTTTATAACGTCCATTTTCAAAGTAATTATTGCTATCTTGTGAGTTTAATTCAAGTTTTATTTACTCCAACCGGTGATAATTGTGAAAAAGTGGCATTAAAAACTTAAAAAGCTGTGCTGTGAACTGTGAACTGCAAAAACCATCGTGGATCGTGGCATAACGTCGGTTTCCAATGTTTCATAGGTATTTCATACATGCGTCCTTATATAAAATAAAGTTTCTTGTATGCAACACACTGTATTTTATTTATAAAATTAAACGAAAATACTAATAAATTTGAATAAACAATATTTGGCGATATAATTCCGGAAAAAGCCGAACCGCTCCGAAATTTTCAAAAGTTTTGGGTCGCGACCGTTGCAAGAATAGCGCCAAATAGTGTTTATATTGTCCTTATGGGCACTTTCCAATCTAATGCACAGACTACCGCAAGCTGTTGCTAGGTTATTATATTAATTTTAATTGTGTTTTTTAGACATTGTGAATGATAGTAAACTAAAAAGTATAAAGTGTAATTGAAACCAATAATTTATTCCACTAATTGGGAGGCTCTGAATGAAGCAAGACTTGAAATAATTTGTATCATGCGTGACACCCTTGTGACACTAAATAAAACAAATATTTTGTGACAAGTACTAAAAGAACTTAAAATAAAGGTACTAGAATACAATATCGTTCAATAACATACAATATCGTACAATAACAATATTGTTCTATAAGATACCGTATGATCGAAAAAAAAACGGCGTCTAGTTGGCTTTGTAAATGAACATCGGTATCATTCCCCATCCCCATATAATTTTACATATAAAATGACAGCGATTTCCGTTTCATAGTCATCGCAGACGCCGTTTTTTCAATCGTATTGTATAGTCATTAAAGAACTTTGTACACAATTTGGCCCAAATTACCTTTAAATCAAGAGTGTCTGTTGCTAACGATTTTATTACTCGAGATATTGGAACAATTTCCATTTCCTTGCACATTCTTTTATATGCCTCGACTCCAATATCATCTATATCCGGAGTTGGATCTAAGAAAATCAATATTTATATAAAAATAATGTCAATATTATACATTTAATATAAAATATTTATATACAGGGTCCGGCAATAGTGCGTCCGTATTCATTTACTCCTAGAATAAAAAATTTGGAAATTTTGTTTAAGTGCAAACCTAAACTTTGTTCTAGCATATACTTCAGGAAAATATTTTAACTTCTATAGGGTGGCCTAAAAAAGTGTGAGTTGATTGGGATTTTTAAATGGAAATACGTATATTATTGTATTTTTGGTTTCCTTTCAGACCACTTAACATAATCCTAAGATATGAGTTAATATATTTCCATAGTTTCAAAGATATATTAATAAATAAAAAAATATATACAGGGTCCGGCAATAGTGCGTCGGGCATCTGTAGCTCCTAGAATAAAAAACTTGAGAATTTTGTTTTAGTGCAAACCTAAAGTATGTACCAGGATGTATTTCAGGAAAATATTTTAACTTCTATAGGGTGGCTCAAAAAAGTATGAGCGGACCTGGATGATTTTTTTTAAATGGAACACTCTGTATATTATTGCATTTTTGGCTTCCTTTCAGATCACTTTACATAACCCTAAGATATGAATAAATATATTTCCATAGTTTCAGAGATATTAAAAAATAAATTAAAAATATATATTTTTCAGCCCTTCTTAAAAAGATTATTAAAAATACCAAGAACTGTTCTGAAATCAAAACGATATTAGGTATTTACTTTAGATGGTCTGTTCTTACTCTGCTATAAATATAGTAATCGTAATTCATACAGGATGTTCAATATTCTACGCCAAACTTTCTAAAATATAAAATATTTTTTCTTTGTATTTTATATGGAACACCCTGTATATTATTTTTTTATTAGATGGAGAGTTTAAAAATGAACATTTATTGTATTTAGAGTATTTCAAAATTTTTAACGGTTTCGCAGATACACGCAGTATTATTTCATATGGCGCTTAAAATTACTGGGTGGCTTTGATAAAAATTAACTGTGGAAAATGCCATAGGAAATATAAAATTGCAAATATCTGCGAAACCGTTAAAAATTTTGAAATACTCTAAATATAAAAAATGTTCATTTTTTAATTCTCCGTCTATTGAAAAAATAATATACATGGTGTTCCATTTAAAAAAACGAAGAAAAATTATTTTATATTTTAGAAAGTTTGGCTTAGAATTTTGAACATCCTGTATAATTTACGATTTTCATATTTATAGCAAAGTAAGTACAGACCATCTAAAGTAAATACCTAATATAGTTTTGTTTTCAGAACAGTTTTTGTATTTTTAATAATTTTTTTAAGAAGGGCTGAAAAAATATATATTTTTGATTTGTTTTTTAATATCTCTGAAACTATCAAAATGTATATCTTAGGGTTATGTAAAGTGATCGGAAAGGAAGCCAAAAATGTAATAATATACAGGGTGTTCCATTTAAAAAAAATCATCCAGGTCCACTCACACTTTTTTGAGCCACTCTATAGAAGTTAAAATATTTTCCTGAAATACATCCTGGTACATACTTCAGGTATGCACTTAAACAAAATTCTCAAGTTGTTTATTCTAGGGGCTACAGATGCCCGACGCACTATTGCCGGACCCTGTATATTTTTCAGCCTTTCTTAAAAAAATATTAAAATTACAAGAACTGTCTTGAAATCAAAACTATAATAGGTATTTAGTTTAAATAGTCTGTACTTAACTTTGTTATAAATATGGGAAGTGTAAATCATACAGGATGTTTAAAATTCTACACCAAACTCTAAAATATAAAATAATTTTTCTTCGTTTTTTTTTTAAATGGAATCCCCTGTATATTATTTTTTCAATAGATGGAGAATTAAGAAATGAATATTTTTTGTATTTAGAGTATTTCAAAATTTTTAATGGTTGGGTAATTTTTCTTTCGTATTTTACCATATGAAATAATACTGTGTGTATCTGCGAAACCATTAAAAATTTTGAAATACTTTAAATACAAAAAATGTTCATATTTTAAATTTCCTTCTTCGTTCTATTTAAAAAAAACAAAGAAAAAGTGTTTTATATTTTGAAAGTTTGGCGTGGAATTTTGGACATCCTGTATTATTTAACACTGCGATATTTATAGCAAAATAAGTTTGGACCATCTAAAGTAAATACCTAATATAAAGTTGATTTCAGGACAGTTTGGTTTGGTTTGTATTTTTAATGTTTTTTTTAAGAAAGGCTAAAAATATATTTTTTTTATTTATTGATATCTCTGAAACTACCGAAAAATATTTACTCATATCTTAGGATTATGCAAAGTGATCTGAAAGGACGCTAAAAATGCAATAATATAGAAGGTGTTCCATTTAAAAAAATCACCCCGATCCACTCGCCCTTTTTTGAGCCACCCTATATAGAACAAAAATAAAACACTAATTCACCACCATACACCAAAACACTTTTACTTTTACACTGGACGCGCGTTTCACTAACCATGTTAGCATCATCAGCAGATAATCAAGGCTGATCAATCTCTTTTCAGTCTTGATCAAACCATTTTAGTCTAAGAGCTAGCAACGTTTTCGAGAAAGTATTTTAAGATGTCTGGCTCTTTGATATATCTTTTACTATGCTCTCTGGAACAGCATGAGGCCCGTCTGGCTGCCGATACCCGTTGCGTTTACTACTGCGCATCGGAAAAAGATCCTATATTTTTTATTAATTTAGTCCTATAAATTCTAGTATTGAACGTAAATCGAACATGTCTCCATAGCGCATGCGCAGTGCGTAGAGTTTCCGATCACGAACCGACAATTCTGGTAATTAAAAAAAAATATATTTAATACTTTACTGTCAGAATATAAACGAAAATAAAATAAAGTCTTTGCCCTGACGCGGATTCGAACTCTGAATCATCGGTTCGTGGTCGGAAACTCTACGCACTGCGCTATGGAGACATGTTCGATTTATATTCAATACTAGAATTTATAGGACTAAATTAATAAAAAATATAGGATCTTCTTTCAATGCGCAGTAGAGAACGCAACGTTTACCGGCAGCCAGACGGGCCGCATGCTGTTCTAGAGAGCATAGTAAAAGATATATCAAAGAGCCAGACGTCTTAAAATACTTGTTTTTCCATCCTTCATCCTTGTTAACACACTTTTTTAACTACATAATACAGAGTGTCCCAATATTCCGTGGACATAGAACTACCACAAATTACCTATAACAGATGCGAAAGAAAGCGACTGCATCGGAAACCGCTCGGCAAACCCCACACGCCTATTGAGTGGTGTAAATACACCAGTCGTTTAGTCCGGAAACCTATGCTGTGTCGTATTCGCTTGCTGGAATGACATAGTGAGTGGTTATATGTTTCTTTTTAAAAACGGGTGTAGGATTTTTGTTGAACTTTTGAACTGTTATTTCTAAGTTTTGGTAATTTGTATATCTTATTTAAAATGGGATACAAATGTGTTTATTTATAAGGAAAAAAAAGATATTTATAGTATAAAAAATTAATTTATTTAACAAAATTTAATTAAAAATGTGACAAAATAGTACCTTTCTATTGGTTCTATCGGACTTTTTTCGACTATATAAATCTTTATTTGTAAACTTTAATCCATAAATATTTTCAATCTAATAAATCATTTAATGATGTAAATAAGAGGAAATTTCTCACATGGGTGGTCAAATTCTATAGTTTTCATTATATTCATTATATCAAACAGCCTCTGAGAAATGTTTTCAACTCAAAATGCCTTTAATTATGTTTGACTACATCAATTAAAAGGGTCTTCAAATACATCAATGTGATATTTGTCTAAAATTTGCAAAAGAATCCGAATCTCTGGATAACTCGAAATTATTTACCCATTTAAAAGCCTTTGATCATGAAAGTGGAAAAATTTGTTCATTTTATTTATTGGAAATTCTCTCGTACTATTTCATAAGGTTCGAAAATGGCATGTCGTGATGTCGGAGACATATTTTTTAATGCAAAACTTATGGCGTTGATTTATCCACGTAAGTATATATGATCTAGGATTGAAAGTATTGAAACTCATATTTACCTTCGAAATTAAACGTAGCTGTAATACCAGGATCTTCCAATGGAGGAAACAAAAATAATCTGTTTTTCGTTATAGAACTACTGGATATCACTAACTGCCTCAAACACGTAAAAGATTCCGTATTCCTCATAAGCAGATGTTTACTATCGCATTCGTCTACCGACAGATCTTCCTCCAGAATCGGAATCGGTTCCATGATCAATTTTGCCCCGCTAGAGTACAACTTGAACTTGCTTTTTATCACCGCGACGCTTTCCTGTTTCATATTTTCTTCGTCCATCATTTTATACAAATTAGAAAAAAAATAGACAAAAATATACTTGTTTGGACCGCTTTTGACAACAACTTGACACTTGAAATTGACTAATAATTCAAATTGATAAAGGTACCTATCTATGGTACCTACCTATCTGCAAATTATCAAAACAAAATCACATGCTATATTGCATTACAGGAATTTATTATGCAACGTCTCCAAGAAACTAGTACAGAATTTGGGCTAAAACTTAATCCTAACAAAACTACTGTCATGATTGTGGACCGACAAAACAACAACCAACCTCACGTGGGAAACATAGCGGGATTTAAGGTGGTTAATAAATACTTATATCTGGGATCGCTAATCGACAACAGCGGCTCATGCGAAGGCGAAATAAGACGTAGAATTGCGCTGGCTAGAACAGCCGTAACTAAATTAACAAAGATATGGAAAGATACAGCCATCACTAAGAACACCAAACTAAGACTGCTGAACTCGCTTGTTTTCCCGATTGCTACGTATGAAAATGGACGCTGAAGAAAAGCGATACCAGGCGAATAGACGCTTTTGAAATGTGGGCATATAGACGTCTGCTACGTATACCTTGGACAGCCCATCGTACGAATGAGTCAGTTCTCCAAGAACTAAACTCACAACTCAGCCTCTCAAAAAAAAATAAACCGATGTTTTCTGACATATATTGGTCACATTGCTAGAAGAACGGACTCACTGCAGCTGCTAATAGTCGAGGGAAAGGTAGAGGGAAAGCGACCACGAGGAAGATCACCCAAGAGATGGGTTGATCAAACTAAAGACCTAATCGGCCAAGGCCTTCATGAAACCGTCAGCATGGCTTAAAACAGAGCGGACTGGCACAATACGATAATAACCGCTACAGGAACATCATAGTCACTAATCCCTCTTCAGGGAAACGGACCAAAGAGAGAGATATTGCATTACAAAATCTACATCGTTGCACAAAATAAAACTAACCTGGTTTTACATGCCATCTCATAATTCTTTGTAATGAAATAACTGCTTTGCGAGGCTTCGCATTTTTTTACTTTTTATGTTTTTGATAGGATCTTGTTTCTTTTTGTAGGTCATTTTCAAAATAGTGTCACAGTTCTCACATCCAGTTTTAAAATCAAGACATTCAGAGCTGTCAAAATTAAATAAAAAACAGAATCAGGTACCAAAGCAATCAAAACTCATTCCTGCAACTTTGAGTAAAATTTTGAGTCTAGCCCCCTCCTTCCCGAATAGGCTTGACGTTAGCTTTGTTCGGGTTCTTGTTATTACCGATTCTGAACCGTCCTAGAACTGTGATGCGTATGCGCAGAAGGAAATATGAAGACATTATTTCATTTGGTCATGCGCTGCAGAGTTCTAGGACGGTTCAGAATCGGTAATAACAAGAACCCGAAGAAAGCTGTTGGATGATCAATACAGGGTGCTACAAATTCGAGATACGAGTATTGGTATCTGTGTAACCGTAATAGATTGCACTAAATTAACCAATCTTAATAACTGTAAAGAGTTGTATAATTATTAATTTATTAGGTATAAAGGAATGTAGCATGTTCAAGGACTAAAATATAATATAATAACCAGAGAATAGATATAAATATATTTGGGCGATATGTGTCTACGTATCTACCTCTATCGTAGATGTAAGTATTCAAATTCTCTCAACATTTGGAAAGAAAAGATCAAAAAGAAGCTGTTTAATCAATTACAATTAAAAGTTATTGTTAATATCACTATACCAAATTTATAGACGTTTAGATTATTCTTTAATAGTATGTAGTAACTAATTTAAGTTTGTTAAGTGTCAAAATAGTTTAAATTTACGAAATAACGCTTTATCGGCATAGAATTTTTTGTGTTTTGTAATTTGGTACCAACTTTCTAAAAATTGGCGAATGCGCCAGGCAATATATTGGAGATTAGAATATCAATAATAAGAGTGTGTCCCCAGATGAGCTTAATCTATGTTTGCAAATTTACTTAGCAAAAAAAAGCAAGTTAATTAACTTACTAATTTTCTGTTTCAGCAAAATATGTCATTATATTAATTGTGGATAAAGCAAGAAACTTATTTTTTGGTGATTACTATTATTTTTTTTTACTTTATTATTGATACAAATTATCAATAATCAAAGTTCTTTAATATCGACACTAACTCAGTTACCGGTCATCAAAATTGCATAATTCAATCATCAAAACTTTATTATTTAATAATTGAAAAATACAGGGTGCTACAAATTCGGGGTACGAGCATTACTATCTCGGTAACCGTAATAGATTCCGCATCAATAAATATGAGAAAAAGTTCCTAAAAACATGGGTATGGAAATGCATAGTTTTAGAGTTACAGGATGTTAAAACTTTTTAAAATTATGAAGTTTCTTTGTAATTATCTTAAATACCATTATTTTTTATTTGAAATTGCTGTATGTTGGACTAATAATAGTAATAATAACTAATAGTAATGCAGAAATCTGTGCTGCTTGATGCTGCTAACATTGTTCGTTCCTTTCTAGGTGATTAATTATTTAGCACCTTATCTTGTCCCCATGGACCGATAAGGCAGCTTTAAACCTGTTCTGAGCAGTGAAAAAAAAAAAAAAGTAATAATATTTAATAATAAATTAGGTAATTAATTTTTATTAAATTATGAATTAGGTTAATTGTGATTAATAAAATTGCGTTTATCTCATCAAGAAGGCCGAATTGGACAAAATATCAAGAGATAACTTTTAATTGGCATTAAACTGCCTACATAATTTTGATATCAAAAGAAAAAAGTCAGTGGCGCACATGTTTTTTTTTTGAACAATAATCCAGTAATAACCCATATGCACGTCCCTGATGAATTTATTGACACTTTTTTTGCATTAAAATATGTAACACCTGTATAGTAACTTTTACCCTCAAAATTTCATTCAAATCACTAAAAGTACTTGGAAGAAAATTATAATAAATCGAAAGATTATTAAAACTTTAACACTCTGTAGCTACGGAATAAAACAGAATCGGACCTATGTTGATATGGAAAATAAGTCTTATTTTTACGCGAGAAATCTCTCCACGAGAGATGGCACATGTTTTTGAAACACCCTGTATAATTAATATAATGACAAATTTTGCTAAAACAGAAAATTAGTAAGTTAATTAACTTGCTTTTTTTCGCTAAGCAAGTTTGCAAACATAGATTAGGTTCATCTGGGGACACACTGTATATTGGTATTGCAAACTCCAATATATTGCCTGGCGCATTCGCCAATTTTTAAAAAGTTGGTACCAAATTTACAAAACACAAGAAATTCTATGCCGATAAAGCTTTATTTCGGAAATTTAAACTATTTTGACACTTAACAAACTTAAATTAGTTACTACATACTATTAAAGTATAATCTAAACCCCTATAAAGTTGGTATAGTGATATTAAAAATAACTTTTAGATGTAATTGACTAAACAACAGCTTCTTTTTGATCTTTTCTTTCCAAATGTTGAGAGAATTTAAATACTTACATCTACGGTAGATACAGACACATACCCCTCAAGTATATTTATTATCTATTATCTGGTTAGTATATTATATTTTAGTCCTTGAACATGCTACATTCCTTTACACCTAATAAATTAATAATTATACAACTCTTTACAGTTATTCAGATTGGTTAATTTAGTGCAAACAGTTTTTTGCAAACAAAATTTCCAAATAAAAAATATTTAAGGAAAAAGTTGTTAATTTTTAAGATGATTTCAAATTATTTGTTTTAACGGTTGAATAACTAACAGAAACGTCAAAAGCTGGTCAAAAGTAAAGTGAAAAACAATGAACAAACGTACTGAGACAATTTGACATGACCGATATAATGTATATTTCCCTGTATAACGATTTTCAGCAGTAAAACGATATGCCTACATAAAGCGATATCTTATTCCACTAATCAGCCTGCGGACTGAAATATTTTCCCACCATTTAAGGCATTCCTAGTCCCGCGCTTTTTAACTTTGTAGGTTAGGTTCATTTACCTTTACGGTCACAGTAGTTAATAAAGTACCCACTTTTGTTCATTATTTTCGTGGATGAATTAAAATTTTAGCGTTAAAAAAGTAGCCCGTTGGTGTGTGTTCTCATATCGATGACTTAAATGGAAAATATAACATGATTCTTCAGCGTTTTGAGCAGGTAAAGTATACTTAAGTGAATTATTAATAAGTGTTCTTTCTGGGGTTATTGTCAATATCGTTTTCATTCGCAGAACAAACGAACAACAGTGGATTTTTCTGAAAAGGACGTTTTTTTCGACTTCAAAGATTTTTATTCATTCACTTATTTCTGACGGTTAGTTGATGCTCGGCAGTACCCAAAATGTCACGGAATTAGCTGTTGCATAAAGGACATCCTACACGTTTTTATCCGAACCAAGGACTAATTTAATTTAATGGAACTAAGACTGAATTCTCCCGTTGGCGGACTACCTGCTAAATATTATTGGCCGCTGTGCAAGAAAAAAGGGTATGACGAAGCCAAAGAAATAGTCGAAACTATTATATGGGGATGCTGCGATATTCCCGATCTAAGTGTACCTTTAAAGAAGAATATTCTCAAAGATGTTGACTCTGGTAGTTACGAATCTATGAAAGCGCTTACTAAACGATACAATAAGGCGATAAGCAACGTTCTAGCTCTGGAAAAAGGGACACAGAAGTTTTGTGATAGGTTAGATAAAATCGCTAGTAGAGATCTCTTACGTCACATTATCCAGCAGACTTACAGCGCCGCCGTGACGGATGCGGAGGAACTAAACAAGTATCAAGCATTTTCACCGGACGTTTATGGAGAAACATCATTTGATCTCATCGCGCAGATGCTGGACCAAATAAAACCGACCAAAGATGACGTTTTTGTGGATCTTGGCTCGGGGGTTGGTCAAGTGGTACTACAAATGGCCGCGACGGGTACTTGCGAACGCTGTGTGGGAATTGAGCGGGCCGATGTTCCTACCAAGTACGCTAAAGAGATGGAGGCGAAGTTTAAGTTCTGGATGCAGTGGTACGGGAAAAAGTGCGGGGAGTTTGAGCTGATAAAGGGCGATTTTTTTGATGATATTCATCGAGATAAATTTACAGATGCCACGATAATTTTTGTAAATAATTTCGCTTTTGGGCCTGCAGTGGATCATAAGCTGAAAGAGAGGTTTGCAGAGCTGAAACACGGTACGAAAATCGTGTCTTCTAAGAGTTTTTGTCCATTGAATTTTCGTATCAGCGATAGGAACTTGGATGACATAGGAACAATTATTAACGTTAGTGAAATTGCGCCTACTAAAAGTTCAGTGTCGTGGACTGATAAACCGGTATCTTACTATCTGCACGTTATTGATAGAACGAAGTTAGAGAAATACTTTCTAGTTAAGAAAAACGGTAGTTTACATTCGTTTTCGACGGAAGATGCCGACTCTTGTGACTCGTACGACAGTCGAGAGAGTAGTGAGCAAAGTCTGTTTGTTGATCCTCTACCAAGGAAACGTGGACGGACAAATAAACTTAAAGAAACCGACGTATTATCGCAACCCAGACCTAATATTAAAACTAAATCAGTAGAAGAACCTCATAGAAGCACCGAAAGTACGAATCTTCACGGAAAAAATAGTACTAGACCAATAATTAGACCTAGTAAGTTAATTTTAAATAAATCACAAAACGCGACGGAAGAAAAACCAAAGAAAACTCTGAAACGGAAAATGCAAGATAGAAGTAGTAGTCCCGACTTTGACTCTATCAACTGGAGTTCGCAGGGTAACATACGGACTTACACTAGGAAACCGTTACCAAACGGTTTCAAAGTTGAGAACGGGCATTATTTGAATTACAAGAACATTATAACGCAGGAAAATTTACAAAGATTGATGGATAACTTTAAGTTCCAGTACCTGCAAATGATGGGCGAAATGTCAGACCCCCTGTATAAAATCAAGATTAGGAAATCCATCGAAGTTGAAATAAAGAGACATACATTTTTAAAAGCGAGAATTGCCAAAGTCAATGAAGAAATTGAGGATATTATTGTTGGAATGCAGAACCAAATTATACAAGCTACTGCAAAGTAACATTTACGTTATCTTTTTATTTTATTAATAAGCATACTTTTATTTTTTTTTATAATAAAAATGTAAAAACCCTATAATTTTGTATGTCTCAATATTTTTGGCACGGTTTGACCTCCGGTTTGACTGTCGGTGTATGTAAACTTTTGAGAGCCACCGAATTTAAATGTCCACTTTCTCCTTCCTCTCGCGCCATTTTTCTTTATCATGTGAATAATAACAGTACGCACGCGCAGTGTTTGATAGTCCCGTTTAAAGGTATTAAGGACGGTCCACAGAGGGGGAAAATTATTTTCATTAAACAAAGCAACAAAAATAATTTTCTTAACATTTTTGTTCTAATATTTGAAAATATGATCACTAATATAAAACACAGTGTAATCTAAAATATAAGATTTCAAAAATTATTTAAAATAACGCTGAAAATGTGTTTTCTAATTTGATAGAGGGCGCATGTAAACAAGGTGTAAACTTAGCTTAACGAATTGACTTGACATTTCATAGCGAAGCCGACAAAAGTGGATGCACACTTTTTTGTCTTAAATAGTTTTTCAAAATTTTATGGTGTTTAAAATCAAACGTTAGAAAGTTGTTAGGAAAATTTGAAGTATTAAAAGTGACAGTTTTAATTCTTAGCATTTCTGTAGTGTTTGATATGAGAATTAAGTTGCGGCAGTAGACTCTTCGTTTTCCCTCCAAATACACAGATCTTGATCTTTAAAATGCCTCTCTTGAGAAAAAAGATTTTCGAGAAACAAATTGTGCCAGATTTCCTGCGAGATGACGAAGAAGTGTTCTATTGTGAAATCACAAACGAAATATTTAGAGACTATCAGTAAGTATTCAAACAATTACTGCGAAATCTAAGTTCCAATAATTTTTAACTCTTCCCTCATGTATAACGATTCTATAACGGTTCATTGTACTTACGTTTTACCTACGCCATACTTCCGAATTAACATTTTAGGTGTTCATGTCTTAGTTTTCTTTATTATACATATTCTATTTCTTTTAGGTTATGTTTTTTTGTGTATTTATTGCTTTAATTCAATTAATAATTACGTTCAAATGATGCCACTAAGTTTTATTGTTACAATAATCGTTCTGTTATCAATAAACTGGCTGTAGTTATTCGTACAAACATACTGATTTGGTTTGTTTCTAGTGAATTCTCGGAGAGAATGTTTCTTTGTAATTCGATGGTATGGACGTGTTCCATGACAGGCAAATCAAATCTTACATACCAAGAAGCCGTTGAGAGTGAGGAACATGCAAAGCAGTGCCTCAAGGAATTTCCCAGTGAACTGAAGATACCAATTTTATACCTAGCAACCTTAACAAAAAGAACATCGTTTGGAGATATGGCCGAAGACATATTTATATACATAAAAGAACGGTATTTTGTTGGTGAAAATTTAGAAGCCAGTTTTACAACAAACAAATGGAAAGAATGCCATATTTTGTCGGTAATTGCTCCTAATGAAGAACAATATAAAAACGATATAAAAACTAATGGGTAAGTAAAACTTAACAATTGTCATCAGAAAATATTAGTTTTTTTTTATGTTTCAGGAGTGTCAGTCCTACAGAGAGAAATTTTATACCATCTGCAAATTTGTACAAATATGAAATTGAACATTTGGACTCAGAAGACACCGATATTAGTGAAATAATGATTGTTGATAGTGCCCAGTTAAGACGAAAGAAGGCACTGTTTTCTAGAGATAAATGTAAACTATTTTTAAAGCAATATGTTGAACAAGACGACAGAGGAATATTTATAATAAAACAAGCTATTCTTGACAAGTTTAATATAAGCAGTGTAAAGTGGGAAATGATATTTAATGGTCCCCTTCCGAATTTCCAAAGTTCAAAGAATTTCGAGAAAGCTGTTAACAACAAAAAGAAGCATAAACAGGAGACTTTGTCGAAATACTTGGAAAAGAATGGATTTGTGATGAAGAGGGACGGTGAAGCTAAAGTAGGTAAAAATAACAATTTGCTTGAGCAAATGAAAAAGAGGGAGGAAGAATTTAAAATTCAGAAACAGCTAAAGGAAGAGCAAAGGCTGGCTGAAAAGCAAAGGAAAAAAGAAGAGAGCAACAAGTTGGCCTCATATTTCAGAGATTGGTTAAAGCATAAAGAAGATCTGGAACTTGAAGATCAGAAAGTAAGTTTAAATTGTATGTTTTCATATTTTTATAATATTTCATTTTAGAAACTTCCCACATTTACACCAGTAAAATCAAAATGTGAGAAATATTTCGGGAACATAGTTGTAATCCTGGAGTTTGTTCATACTTTTCAAAAACTTCTATCCACAAGGGATTTTTTTCCTGGCGGCTTTACATTAGATGTTATGGAGAGAGCCTTAACAGAGAAAGAAGTGGCTGGGCCATTAACCGATTTAATACAGATGTTGTTGGCTGCCATATTTAACTGTCAGGAGGAGGAGTCTAATAATTATAATACAGGAATTGAAAACTTGAAAGGTGAATATGTTAACAATATCTTTTTATAATTTTATATGTATGTTTTCCCTTTATTCTATTTGTTTATTACAAAAACATAGTAGATATATAATAAAACAGGATTTATACATTACAATCAAGGTTTTTCTGTTCTGAGTGTTTCATTTAAAAAGAAAACATGTATGGTATATCTGGCACACTTTTTTAAAGCACCTTGTATACACAAAAATAATTTTAAATTATGTAACTTAATATTCCCTATAACTATTCTATTGAACATTTTTCATACTCTTAAAATAAATGAGATATAGTTAACTTTACTATAATTGTTGACTCACACTAGCTATGTAATATTGTGCAATATATTTATTTACATTAAAACTTTATATCTATTGTCTTATAACTTATAACCAATTCATTAGTTTACATTCACTTTGTGTAATGTAATGATTTGGCAGCAGTGGTTTAGTAATAAACAAATGCCTAAAGGACAAAAAATAATAATTTGGAATATTTTTCTGAACATCTCTCTTCTATTATATGTATGTGTTTTAAATAAAGTGTTGTGTGGTACTTTGTTGTAAATTAGCATTAGTTTTAAGTTTTAAGACAATAATAATTAAGACAAATATTTTTTTTTAATAATATTTATTTTTGACCTCAAATCAGTACAAAATAATTCTGGCATCGGATTTAAGCTCCGCGCGCACTGAATAGGTATCGGCGAGAGCGAGCGGTGCGAGAGGCGCAAGCGGCACGACCGGTCGGGAAGTCGATGGTAGCCGCGCACTGGAGTCGCACGATTGATGGTCGAGAGTACGTCACCAGCATGAATTTGAGCATAGACGAGGACTGTTTATTCAAGTTTAGTCAAATTCATTCAGCATTTCAAAAAATTATAAAGTATTATTGCTATTTATATTTTTATGCAACTTTTTATATTTTATGCTTTGTGAGGGAAATTGATATTATTTAGATGTTAACCAAACACACATTAATATAATATTTAGATCTTAACAAACCACATAAAATTAGTGAAATAGAGTGGAAGATGGGGATAAAATATACTACATGACTCTTAGTTTGACTGATTTTAACAAATTTGGTATAACTCAAAAGGGTTTAATTTGTTCTTTAAAAAGAAACCTAGACATGAAAAATAGTCAAATAAAACTTCTATTTTTAGTTTTTTAATCTAAATAAGTATCATTACAAACATTTATATATAAGCTTTTATTTTAAGTTTTTAAAATCTTTGTTTTAAGTCAGTAGGAAATAAAACGAAACTTGTGTTTACATTTTGTTTAATGATTGACGTTTCGACCAATTTTAATTCGGTCTTCTTCAGAATCTATAATATACATATAAATAATTTTCTACGTTTGTGGTACGAAAAAATTATATATTAAACACATTGTTAGTGATAAAATTGTATTGTATATTATAGATTCTAAAGAAGACCGAATTAAAATTAGTCGAAACGTCCATCATTAAACAAAATGTAAACACAAGTTTTGTTTTATTCACTACTGACTTAAAACCAAGATTTTAATCCTATAAATCCTATAAAATAATTATTTAACTTAAAATATAATAAAAAAGTCAAAGAAAATTGAAAAAAGAAAAAAATATAAATAGTTTTTATAGTACCGTATTATCGAAAAGGAACGGCATCAGCGATGACCATGAAATGAAGGTCGGTGCCATTTTATATGTAAATTTATATAGGACATGTCATCAATCGTCATTTCCCATCCAACTGGACGCCGTTTTTTTCTATCATACGGTAGATATATGTACAAATATTTTATTCAAACATAAATATTATTTTCTCTATTTGTACCTTTTACGGAGCGATCATCATAGTAACATAGGATGATTATTTATCAGCTGTTATTACTAACGTCAAAACAAACCAAAAATTAAATAATATGATAGGTTTTTTGACGATATTTAAATTCGATTTTCAAAATAATGTGAGATAATCAAAACGAGATGAGAAATAAATGGGTTTAATCGGAAGGTTTTCTAATTCAGTTATTGAATAAGTGTAGTAAACAATATAGGTTACGTGCTTGTAAGAAATTTTTATAAAAAACCGCATATTAAGTATGATATGGTCTCGTACACTTTCGATTAATAATTCATCGGACATGTTTAATGTAAAACCGCTCCACTAAAAACAGTCGCTTGGCGTAGACTATTCGCCCCCTCCCATGCATTCTCTGATTTCGCCTGATGGCGCGAGTACCGCCGATAGCTCGAAGCGCACCGATCTAATGCGGTGCGCGGGCTTACATTTATTTCAACGTAAACTGAAAATTACGTGTCGCTCGCTCTCGCCGATATCTATTCAGTGCGCGCGGAGCTTTAAACGGAAAATGAGTCTATAGACTTTGTTATGTAGATACAGTGGCGTAACTAGTTCTTTGCTGGCAGCTATCATTTTCAAAATATGAATCAAACTTTTTTCTTAAATGGAACACCCTGTATTTTGTTATTTTATTTTGTTTGCCTTGTTGTGAGCTCTCTAAAAATATAATTAACTCTATACTTGTCTATCCTTGTTTATATATTCTTAAAGTTACTCAACCAGTAAAACAAAATGTGCTGCCAGCTGGTGGACAAATCGTGAAGCTTTAAATGAATGAAACGTGATTAGGGGCGGAGTCAAAAATATTAATTATTTTCGTTATTTTCCTTAGAGTAATGTAATAATATAGCCCGGATCAGCCGATTAAGAAATTTAATCAAAACATTTATTTTATTGTTGATTGTGGATTATTTTTGCTGGTATTTGAAGAATTCTAAACCGTATTAGCAAAGAAATTATTTCGATATTTATGTTGGTACATTATTTATAATTTATGGAAATGCTAATAACTGTTAATTACTATTTAAAAAAGTCACATACCTACTTTAATTTGATTTGATGCAGGTCTATAAAAGAATCATTTCATTCTTAGATTATTTTATTCTCAATTGAGTGTTTTACGAATTTCACGATATATATTTTTTTAAAACATAAAACTTTTTACATTCTTGATTAAATTTTCAAAAAAATATATTTTCAATTCTTTATTTTTTTTTATTAAAAGTTGACACTTGCTTCAATCTTTGAATAAGAAGACTAAGGAAGGAGCATATCAAAAATCTTAGGTACACCGCGATGGGCCTCAAATATGGCCGACTTAAATTCCGGTTTATCAGTGTCGTTCTAATTTTATTTAAAAAATGTAAAACTATGATGTAGGGTAGACGTGGGGTAGACTCAATAATTTGTTGTTTTATTTTACGTTGTGAACAAATGTTGGTAGTTATTAAAATTGTTATGAAAATATATAATTCTAATAAAAATAGATAAGTTATAATAAGTATTTACTAACACAAACATCCGATACGCTACTGAAGCAGGTAAGTCAAATTAACGTATCTAAATTCTTTGACATCTAATCTTTGACAAGTAATAAATAAAAGCTGAAATGCAAGAAAAATATATAATTTAGTTAGTTTAAGTGAATTTCATAAATGATCGGTTTACTACACGTATGTATATTATATAGTCACTTACTAGCGAAAAGTTGTTCCATTATTTCACTCAATTTTTGCCGAGATCTACCGCACGCTACACAACCAACTATTTTAGAGTCTTTTTCGATAAATCGCGATAGTGTCACTGTTAATTTAAGTTCTGCCACAATTTCTATTTAGATTTACTACCTTTATACAACTATCAGTAGTAGAATAAATAACAAATAACATAAAATAAAAATTTGTAAAGACTGACAAATCCACAAAATTTCAAACCAAATTCAAATGTGTCAGATGAATCGTCAAACAGAACTGTCAAGGATCCCCACTCTAGAGTGCTTTTTCCGCCCACCATGCATGAATACATGGATAGCATTATGCTCCTTCCTTAGTCTTCTTATTCAAAGGCTTCAATAATATTATTTGACATTTTAATAAATATATTGTACTTAATACATCATCTAAATCTTTATTACATCAATTAAATCTTTATTAATGTAAAATATGGTCAGGGTTTTAAAATCAAATTTGAAATGAAATCATAATCACAATCAAGTGAAAAATTATAGAAACTGAAAATATTATTTTAACTCACACACCAGCTTGTTAAACCATAAAACTTGCTATAAGCAGGATACATGTCTATCAGGAAAATAATTTATTTAGATAATGCAAAATTTGTTTTTTCTGTTTCATATGGACTTTGGTCTAAAAAAATGAGAACAAATAGGAATTGAGAACACACTCAACAGTACAGGGTGTGTTCTGAATACCTATTTTTTCTCATTTTTTTCCCTTTTTGTTCTAAATGTCTTCTCATAAACTTGTTAAACTTTGTTCTAAACTCAAGAGTATTAAGAAAAAACGAGAAAATTGAAAAAAAAAAGAAAAACTAATTGGTTATCCTTTACATGGCTCGCTGTACTATTTTTCTCTTATTTTATTTTCAGATATAAACGAAGAGGATTTATCTAAAAACGTAAGCATCAAAGAAGGAACCCACCTAGCCACATTGGCTTCCAGGTGGCCCATAAAATACCAAGGCCTCCCTTTGAGTAGATTACCCTTGTATTCCCTAACCGTCTCCGAGGTTCTAAGACTTCATCTCCTCTCCTCCGGCGCAAGAATAAAGGAATCCGGTGCAAAATGGCGGTACGCTCAAAGAGGAGGTTACACCAACGAGGACGACCCTGGGTTACACTTAAGGTTACACCAGGCCCACATTTTACGTTCCTTGGCCGTACATAACGTGGTACAACTACCGATAAGCGACAAAATTGACATAATCGATTGCCTGATCAATCAGTTGCTCAGTTACGCAGATGTGCGAGATGTCGTAGAAGAGAAAATAGAGAAAATCAGGGTAGCCAAGATCGATTTGAGGTCGGCCAGAGCTACGGAACGACGGAGGGAGGTGGAGTACGGTGCGGAGAAGATCAAGGCGAAGAAAGAGTTGAAGGGGGATTTGAACGCTTTGCAGGCGGCGCTGGAGAAATTGAAGTTTGAATACGATAATAAGGAGTTTGATAATAAACAGAAGATCGATAAGTTGATGAAGGTAGCTAATGACGGACAAACGCTTTTAGGGTACGTATTTTTGTCTTTTTTTCTGTATTTATAAGAGTTTATTTAACTACAGTTTAATAATAATATATACCGAGTGAGTCTCAAAAGTGGCTCACCCCTATAACTTTTTTATTTTCTCAGATAAAAAACGAGATTTGGTATGTTAGTATATGACATAAATTAGGATTGATTGACGTATTCAATTGTTTTCGGTCACTTCCTGTTTCACCGGAAATGACTACATCTTTTGATTGTTAAATGGCACCCTCGGTATTTTGTTACTTTATTCGATAGAAAATGACTCTGAATCGAACGACATATATCATATCTGACCTAATCAACTTTTGACATTTTCACATATGGTTTATTTGAAATTATAACTTGCGGTTCGTAACGAAAATTTGATTCAAAATACCAAGTGTGTGGCATCAAATTATTCGTAAAAAAATGCCATTTCCAAATATGCTAATGATCCATTTTCGTTCCATTCGAAAAAATTGAGATATGATTAAAAATACGATTTGAGTATTTTCTAATTGGCCAGGACAAGACACTAAAAACATTAGACGAGCAAATCTATTTTTCCAAGGCCCCTTGATTAAAAATTAGTGTTTTTAACATAGACATAGCACTCTGGATTGAATTTTAAAATACGATTTTATATTAAGCGAGAATGTCAAAAGTTGATATTATGATGTCATTCTATTCAAAATGTCATTTTCTATCGAATAAAGTGAAAAAAAATACCAAGGGTGCCATTTAACAATCAAAAGATACTAGTCCGGTGAAACAGGAAGTGACCAAAAACAATTGAATACGTCAATCAATCCTGATTGATTGACGTATTCAATTGTTTATATGATATGATGTCATATACTAACATACCAAATCTCGTTTTTTTATCTGAACAAATTAAAAAGTTATATGGGTGAGCCACTTTTGAGACGCACCCGGTATAGATCATACCAAATAAACCTTTAGTGACGTCATTAATCTTGACCGGCACAGCGTTGCTCACTTTTACATATTTTCTTTTAATCAAAATATTTTAGGAAACAAAAATAAATTAAATATAAATATATAAACAGTGATCATGTACAGGGTGGGTCAAATTCGACGCTTTTAAATGGAAACACCTTTTTCTATAGGAAATAGACAAAAACTAATATTGGTGTCTCGAGCTTAATTTTTGTCAAAAACGTGATGGTGAAAACCGCATATCGGTATCTGTTACTGTTTCGGAGTTACGGGGTGTTTTTCAAAAATATGCATTTTTAACAAATCGCTGTAAATTTTTTGCTATGGAAAATTTTGTATTTTTATGAAAACCTTTCCAAAGCACTTTTTTGCGTAGAATTTAATGGTTTAAGTATAATTTTTTTAAAATTAATAATTTAAGAATTATCAACATAATATTGTATATTTTTAATTTATTGAAAAGAATTTAAAATTACCTTTCCAAAAATATAACACACTTGATATTTTGCTCGATTCCTTTTCTAGATATAAAGTATATAAAAATTTGCCAGCTTTAAATAAGTAGGCTTTGAACGGCACCGGCTGTAATGCAAAAAAATTGTAGCTGTGAGAATCAATTAAAATGAAAATAATATTTGCTATGAGAGATACAGAATTTTATAACTATTTAAAATATATTTAACCAATATCAACACATTTAAACTATATCTACTAACAATAAAAATAAATAGCAAACCAAGACATGAGATTTTGCTACAGGTGTTCGAGATATCGACCGTCTGCTGTTATGGACCGACGCGACGGGGCCGTTTTTGAACATTTCTCGCGGAATTCATTAACTCAGTTGGGGTGAAAGATACCCTCTCATAACTGCTAAGTATTTCTAATTCTTGTCAAGATTATACGGAAAAATAAGGAACCTTTATTCTTCCGCAAATATATCCATAGGATTAGATCCATGGGCACTAAGTCAGGCGGCCTCGACGGCCAACGGCTGGGATCTTGGTTAGCTATTCAATTATTCTTGAAATTGGCTGCAAAAATTTGCTGATAACTTCAGCGTTCTGAGGCGGTGCGTTGTCTTGCTGGAAAACTATGTTTTCGAGTTCCATTAAGGGCATATCATCAATAAAGGGTCCAAAGCCTACTAGTTAAAAGTGGCGAACTTTAAAATATTCTATATTTCGAAGGGGGTTATAACAAAATGTCAAGTGTGCTATATTTTTGGAAAGGTAATTTTAAATTCTTTTCAGTTAATTACAAATATAGAGGGTGTACCAAATAAAAAATCAAATTTACTGTTGATAACTCTTAAATTATTAATTTTAAAAAAATTATACTTCAACCATTAAATTCTACGTAAAAAGGTGCTTTGGAAATGTTTTCATGAAAATACAAAATTTTCCATAGCAAAAAAGTTACAGCGATTTGTTAAAAATGCACATTTTTGAAAAATACCCCGTAACTCCGAAACGGTAATAGATATTGATGTGCGGTTTTCACCATCATGTTTTTGATGAAAATTGAGCTCCAGACACCGATATTAGTTTTCATCTATCTCCTATAGAAAAGGGTGTTTTCATTTAAAAGCGTCGAATTTGACCCACCCTGTACAGTGCTTTTATTTTAATTTGTCCCACTTGTAAAAAGCTGTAGAATATTTATTTTTAAGTTAAAAGGTCGAGTGAAAAAAAAATTGTAGTGTTTTTCGTTAAGTTTTATGCCGTCGAGTCAAAAATTGTATAAACTGTAAAATGGCAAAATTATTGACATAACTTACTTTTTTTCAAGTGGTACACCGGGTGCGTCTCAAATGTGGCTCACGCTTATAACTTTTTTATTTTTTCAGATAAAAAAACGAGATTTGGTATGTTAGTATATGACATAAATTAGGATTGACTGACGTGTTCAAATGTTTTCGATCACTTCCGGTTTCACCAGAAATAACTACAACTTTTGATTTTTATGTAGCACCCTCGATATTTATTTACTTTATTCGATAGGAAATAATACTCTGAATAGAATGACATATCATATGTCAACTTTTGACATTTTCGCATAAGGCTTATTTGAAATTATAACTTGCGGTTCATATCGAAAATTTGACTCGAAATACCTAGTGTGTGGTATCAAATTATTCGTAAAAAAATGCTTTTTCCAAATATGCTAATGAGCCATTCATGTGAAAATGTGATGATCATTTCATGTGAAAAAATTGAGATAAGATTAAAAATACGATTTGGACATCTATTAACCGGCCAGGACGAGACATTAAAAACATTAGACGATCAAATCTATTTTTCCAAGGCTCCTTGATTAAGAATTTGTGTTTTTAACATAGCCATGGCACTCTAGATTGAAATTTAAAATACGATTTTTTAATAAGCGAGAATGTTAAAAGTTCCCATATGATATGTCATTCTATTCAGAATGTCATTTTCTATCGAATAAAGTAAAAAATACCAAGGGTGCCATTTAAAAATCAAAAGTTGTAGTCATTTCCGGTGAAACAGGAAGTGATCAAAAACAATTGAATACGTCAATCTATTCTAATTTACATCATATAATACTAACATACCAAATCTCGTTTTTTAATTGAAAAAATAAAAAAGTTATTGGGGTGAGCCACTTTTGAGACGCACCATGACAGTATATCATGAAATATTTAAAAAGACTTTTTTTTCTGATTACGAAAATATGCCACACTTGCCCTTTCTTTTCAGTAGTTTAGCGCAAATTCGTATAAATATGATTAAAATGTAAAATGTAAAAATTATGCAATTCTTGGAAATAAAATAATAAACGCGGGTATCTTAATGTTGAAAAATTATAATTTTAATCATACTACGTTCAAAAAACGCATCAATAATAAATTAAATGTTTGTTTTAATTTTTTAGAACTGATAGAGCTTATCGTAAATACCTCAGAATTGAATCTATACCCGGCATATTTATAAACTGGGAAAACGAAACAGCAGGCCTCTGCTTAGAGAAATTTACCATTCAGTATCCAGAACTAACTACAGCCGGTAAATCAGAACTTACCTCACATATTAAAAAATTGTACGCACCAGAAACCAGCGCCAAAGAAACCTCCCCAACCAAATCACCCAAAAGGACCAACGGTATTAGAAAATCATTATCAAGCAGCGATGTAGAGACGACCAAGGAATTGTTACTTTGCACAACAAACGCAGTCACTTGTCCAGTTCACAACGACAATTTCTCATCGTCTAGATGGTTTTTCCTCTACAAAAAAGAGCAGCTTGAAGATCTGATTGATGCCCTTAATAAAAGAGGAATCAGGGAAGGGGAGCTTAAGGATTTTCTGGTGTACGAGAAGGATCATCTTATAAATTTACTGTATAAGACACCGATAAGTTTGTTAAATCCGGAAGTAGAAATCTCAGAGGAAGAAAAGGAGGAAAGAGAGAGTAGACATAATAGACCAAATGGCAGTACAAAGAAAAAAGATAGGTGAGTAGTGGTAGTATTTTACTAATTTAGATCTAAAATATAAATAAAAACATAATTAGTTAAATTAAAGGTATAGACATTATTTATAATTAGTTAACTCTGAATAAATTTCATAATTGATAATATGTTTTCTTAAGTTTGATTTTCATGCATCCGTTGTCCGACGATACGATGATACGATATTGATTGAATTTAATAACTTAATGTAGTTTTTAAATTTATTGCATACCATTGAAGCCATTTTTAACCAAACCAAACCGTCTGGCTGTTGGTAGACGTTGCGTTCACTACTGCACATAATTTGTCTGTATTCAACAACTGTTCATTACTGCGCATCACAAATTCGCCCTGTATTTCAGAAACTAAGGAGGTTAGGACAAACCTGTGTAGCATATTTAGTTTCATAAAAAAGTAGCAAAGTAATGTGAAAGTTGCATCATTGAATCTATACTCATAAACGAGAAATTCCATAAAACACGAAAATGGGATACCCTGTACAGATGTGATGCGCAGTAGTGAACCGCAGTAGTCTACCAGCAGCCAGACAACGTTCTTAAAATTCTCGTTTTCCCGACAGTGCTAGCTCTTGTACTATTATATTTTTATTAAGATTAGATAAAATTGGTTAAAAAAGTGTTAAACGGGCTGGACGGTAGGACGTTGACGGGCTGGAATAAAAAATTTATGGAGGAAAGTGGCGCGAAAACGCTATGACCAATCAGAGCGCCGTCAGACCAGAGTAAGTAAACCGACGAGTAGCGACAGTCCCGTTTTCAATTGTCTTTGCGGCTGCGCGAAATAAGTAGGTTATCTGTCATATGAAGAAGCGAAGTTGCCACTGTTGCCATTTATCAAATATCTCTATATACTTTATTTCAAGTATACCTCAGGCAACGAATCGTTTTTTTAATTATTTATTAGCTGTAAGATATTTTATACATTCACATTTAGAAATAAGGATAAAACAAAACAAAAAAAATATTTATAAAACTTTATAAATAATTCCATTTCAAATTATGAGCAGTGTATACCATGTTTATAGGACCACTTCATAAGTTGAGCAGTTAAATACATAGTCTATCTGTCAAACACGTCAAAAGAGAGAGAAATAAAATTTGGTCCCACCTTTGAATAAGAAGACTAAGGAAGGAGCATATCAAAAATCTTAGGTACACCGCGATGGGCCTCAAATATGGCCGACTTAAATTCCGGTTTATCAGTGTCGTTCTAATTTTATTTAAAAAATGTAAAACTATGATGTAGGGTAGACGTGGGGTAGACTCAATAATTTGTTTTATTTTACGTTGTGAATAAATGTTGGTAGTTATTAAAATTGTTATAAAAATATATAATTCTAATAAAAATAGATAAGTTATAATAAGTATTTATTACCACAAACATCCGATACGCTACTGAAGCAGGTAAGTCAAATTAACGTATCTAAATTCTTTGACATCTAATCTTTGACAAGTAATAAATAAAAGCTAAAATGCAAGAAAAATATATAATTTAGTTAATTTAAGTGAATTTCATAAACGATCGGTTTGCTACACGTATGTATATTATATAGTCACTTACTAGCTAAAAGTTGTTCCATTATTTCACTCAATTTTTGCCGAGATCTACCGCACGCTACACAACCAACTATTTTAGTCTTTTTCGATAAATTGCGATAGTGTCACTGTTAATTTAAGTGCTGCTACAATTTCCATCTAGATTTACTACCTTTATACAACTATCAGTAGTAGAATAAATAATAAATAACATAAAATAAGACTGACAAATCCACAAAATTTCAAATCAAATTCAAATGTGTCAAATGAATCATCAAACAGAACTGTCAAGGATCCCCACCCTAGAGTGCTTTTATGGTGCTTTTTCCGTCCACCATGCATGAATACATGGATAGCATTATGCTCCTTCCTTAGTCTTCTTATTCAAAGGGTCCCACCACATCAAAAGACCGACGGTTTCTGTCGCTACTCGGCGATCTACTTACTCTGGTCAGACCATCGTATCAACGGACGGACGTATGAAAATCAAGTTTTACTTGTTTACTACTTGTTGATATGAAAACATTTAATACAGTTACAACCTTTGTTGTTACAACAGCAAAATGAAACACTAATTCTCCACAATACACTAAAACACTTTAACCATGTTAGCATCACCAGCAGATGATTCTAACGCTTCAAAACAACCGAGCATAACAATTAATTACCGAAGCTAGAGTAATAGGAACAGAAAACTGGATGGAATTGGACCATTGTCTCTGTTCATATGCAGTGGGATTCTGTAAGCTCCGTAGCAAGAAATTTTTTGCCTAGCCTATGTTATTTCTATACAATTGATAAGTCACTAGACAGGAAATATGTTTACAGAATCGCACTGATCATCTTTACATTTTATTATTCTTGACTCTCTCATATGCGTCTAATTGCCTGTAGATGTGACTTGTTTAATTAATTTTAAACAATTTTTTAAATGATCCAAATCAAATTCATTTGTGTCAAGTAACGCATCAAAGAGAGTATTTATTAGACTTAGTTATAGGGAGAACCAATTTTGAGACGCAGCCGGTATGTTACAATATTTTGCAATATTGTGAATTTTTCTACGTAATTTAAGTACTTTTTTGTAGAAATTTAAAAATGTGAACTTATAACTTATAAACATACAAAATGTGGATAACGTAGGAGGTGGCAACACTGAAGCACTATAAACAAATTTCCGGAAACTGAACAAGCGGCACTCAAAAGTTTTTCAATATTTTCCGGAAAATGTAAAAAAAATTTCAACATTTTTTTTTCGCGAAAAACACCTCATCAGCGTGTTTCTGCAGTCGAGCTATACTACCAGTTAAAATACTTGCACTTACTTATGGGACACCCTGTATGAAACCGGCACGTGTATCCGGAAAACTTTAAATATACTTGAAAACAGATTTTAGAAAATTCCGAAACGATAATAGCAAACAAACGATTTAATTGGAAGATCTCGCAAACATTTTAAATCATATTTTATATACAGGGTTGTTCACCACATACGACACGGAGTATTGTAGCTAAACGATGAGATTTTTACAAATTGTAAGTTTTGGGTTCGATGAAGGACTATTAGAGGTACAGTTTAAAAATAATTTTACAAGATACAGAGTGTCCCAAAACGAAAAATTGTATTAGACCCCTTCCTTAATTTCTTTATTCAATGAAATATTCTGTATTTTAGATATGAGGATGCGAATTTGGGATACCCATTAGAATTGAAATCTGAAGAAGTACTCGAAAACGTCCTTATCGAAAACGTTTTAGAAATGGAAGAGAAAGTTACAGCTGGAGGTTTGGGAACTTTAAAAATGAAAGATCGAGACAAGTGGAGAAACTTCCTGCAAAATAAACAGTACAGCGAGTTTGAGGCGCTTCCAAAATCAGAAATCGACAAGGAAAACCGACATTTAAAGGTTAAGAAACAAGAAAAAGGTATAAACTCTATTTACTAAAGGACTTCAATTTTTTTCGTTATGCATTAATATTTTTGTAGGCAAAAATAACAGTAGGTCGAGTACGCCCGAAGTACCCGATAAAAAAGAAGAGAAAGAATATCAAGATCCAGGTAAATATCTTGGTTCTGATGTGAAAGTTAAATCGGAGAACTTGGATGAAGGTGTCGAACAAATCGAGTCCACTAAAACGGCGATTCGATGCTTGGCTCATGCCCTCTGTCATGTGGCGGACGCAGTTGACGCAAAACACATGAAACGACCCTTGGGTAAGCGCATTATTTTTTTTCGAGCTGGGCATGTATGAATTTTTGTTTGTATATGTGGGCAAGCCTTGATCTTGGGTCGGTATCTCCATGTGTGGAAGCGAATCGCTTAGAGATCTAATTAAGTTGGAGAGTGTAAATCGTAGATACAAGTGCGCCTTACCCTGTCTAGTAGAGTAAAATCACAATCAAAAAGCGTTTATATTTCTGGACATCTGAAATCGAGTTATAATATCGTTAGGGTGTCCATTTTTTATAATGAAAAAACTTCAATATTCGCGGTAATTTGAAACCTAATAGGCAAATTTGTGACAAGACTGATTTGATTTCCCCTCCAAAAGTGCTGTACGGTGGCGCCTCTATTCGTTCTGCGGCCAACGCATAAAACACTCATTTTCTCTAATTCGGCCAGCGAAGACATATCGAATATGGTGTGGAACAGAATTAAAATGTGTAATATCTGTAATATTTTTGTCTGTATATGTTGTAATCCGCGTTTGTGATTTTGTATTTTTTTGTGAATGTATTGAAAATTTATTTGTGTTAAACATAGAATAAACAACAAAAATCAAAAAAAGCTTACTGAATGATATAGAAAGGTACTGAATATGTTGTATGATCGAAAAAAGTCGTTTAGTTGGCTTGGAACTGATGACTATTGACATTTACCATAATATTTTACATATGAAATAACTGCGATCTTCATTTCCAAGCCAACTATGACGCTATTCTTTGTTTTATCATATAATATTATATTGAATTTGTTTTATGATAGAAAATCTGTATTATTAACGTACTGTACCCAAAATCCGTAAATCTACAGATCAATCTGTAGTTCTGGCAACACTGTCTCCGGCAATCATCCTTTCTGTCAACTATTCTTTATCCGCTGCGCTGTAAACGACTATCAGCGCGCTACGGCGCAGAGTTAAACTAAGTTTCGGACAGGTTGACAAGCGGCGGCGGTATCGCCAGTTACATCTCGGACATGTTTTTGCCACGAAATCGCCCTAAGGTTGCGCATTTTCTTATTTCTTCAATCAACGATTGTACTCTTCTTACATACGGAAATCGTGACCCAAAGCCGAGCGTTGCCAGTATGGTATGTAAATTTTTGATTGTGAAAAAACTAATTTTTGAGTTTACCTTTTTAGGGCATGCTGACGTCAGGGCAAACAACAAACACAAAGACGAATACGACGTTTTGGACCGATGGCAGCAATCTCTACTGGCGTCGACCAGTTTCAGTCAGATCTTTTTACATTACGGCACTCTGGACTCGTGCGTGATGTGGTCACGGTCAGCATTATTAGCTCGATGTCAAATTTGCCGACGACAGAACAACTCCGAGAACATGCTGTTGTGCGACTCCTGCAATTTGGGACACCATATGTATTGCCTCAAACCTAAATTAACTGTATGTATAACTGTTTTAATATTGATATTCTTAGTGTAATTCACTTAATTTTCTTTTTGTTAGATTGTTCCTAAAGGCGATTGGTTCTGTGACAAATGCAAAAAAGAAAAGGAGAAACAGGAAAAGCTTCTGAGTCCGGAACCAGTTAAGAAAAGACGTAGAATATTTATTGAGGAGGAGGTGGAGGAGGAGGAAGAACAAGACTCGGGGAATGTGGAGGACGGAGAGGACCAGGAGAGTAGCGAGGGTGACCTTGAAGAAGAGGAAGACGAACCAACTACGTAAGCAAAACTATTATTTCTTTTATTTAGTCAGATATATTTTGATATATACAATACCTGATTAAGCTACAATTAAACCTTCTGTTCTCACCTTTAATTAAAACACAATTAAATCACCCTTAATGGCGGTTTAGTATGATGTTAGTTTGGTTAATCTAAAAGATTGAAATAGTTAGCTACAATAAGTATTGTTTCCAAAAAAATCCTATATGGGTATTTCGCCACTACAAGAAAATCTACAAAATAAAAAAACAGTTATTTTTTGTAAACACTGCTGGCGTTAATCCAATGGAAACTACTTGTCAGCAGTTAGGTTTACAGATAACCAAACCTAACCAAATCAAACCAAACCAAACATAGGATACAACATTTTAATGAACAGTGCTTTCCATAAAATCAGTAAAATGAAAAATATACGAAATAATATGCATGTACTGATTTCTTTCGAAAATCGACAACTATGAAACTATGAACTCTTCCTGGGCACAAACGGTACATTGTGAGACAGAAAATTGTAGAGAGAAACAAGCCCTATGACATAGGATACAACATTTTAATGAACAGTGCTTTCCATAAAATCAATAAAATGAAAAATATACGAAATAATATGCATGTTCTGATTTCTTTCGAAAATCGACAACTATGAAACTATGAACTCTTCCTGGGCACAAACGGTACATTGTGAGATAGAAAATTGTAGAGAGAAACAAGCCCTATGACATAGGATACAACATTTTAATGAACAGTGCTTTCCATAAAATCAATAAAATGAAAAATATACGAAATAATATGCATGTTCTGATTTCTTTCGAAAATCGACAACTATGAAACCATGAACTCTTCCTGGACACAAACGGTACATTGTGAGACAGAAAATTGTAGTTGTAGTAAAAGCACTGTTCATTTTAATGAACAGTGCTTTCCATAAAATCAATAAAATGAAAAATATACGAAATAATACGACATAATGTTATATTAAATATTCCAACTTTTCTTGCCTGCAAGTTAAATTGCGAACTGTAAAGCGGACTTAAATATTACTTTTCCATATTGAACACTATAGTTATATCGAAAAATAGTAATTTTTTACATTGAAAAATATGTCGTGTTCACAAATCAAACTCAAAACTTAAAAGAAGAAAGCAATGACGTCAGTCAATAAGAGTTACTTTTAAAAATAGTTCTAGACTTCTTCGTTGCCCTTTTTTTTTATTCAATGATTACTATATATTTTAAATATTTTTCAGCGATTTCAAAATAGAACTATGCAAATCTTGTCATTCAGGCGGCGAATTGGTGTCCTGCGAGAAATGCCAATCCGGTTTCCATAAAGAATGCGTCGAACCGCCTCTAAGGCGACTCCCTAGAGGACCGTGGACGTGCCCATCTTGTCAAAAGAAAGACATGAAACATGAACGAGTATACCGTGAAAGAGCGACTGAAACTGAATCTGACTCAGGTATGTAACGCTTTTTTATAATTTATAATGATGCTGTAGATAATTGCGACTTGAATATACCAGGTGCGTCTCAAAAGTGGCTCACCCCCTATAACTTTTTTATTTATTCTGATAAACAAACGAGATTTGGTATGTTAGTACATGGCAACAATTAGGATTGACTGACGTATTCAATTGTTTTCGGTCAGTTCCTGTTTCACTGGAAATGACTACAGCTTTTGATTTTTAAATGATACCCTCGGTATTTTTTTTACTTTATTTGATAGAAAATGACATTCTGAATAGAATGCCATATCATATGTCAACTTTTGACATTCTCGCTTAATAAAAAAATGTATTTTAAATTTCAATCTAGAGACCCATGGCTATGTTAAAAACACTAATTTTTAATCAAGAAGCCTTGGAAAAATATATTTGATCGTCCAATGTTTTTAGTGTCATATCCTGGCCAGTTAAAAGATGCCCAAATCGAATATTTAATCATATCTCAATTTTTTCAAATGGACGGAGGGTGGCTCATTATCATATTTGGAAAAAGCATTTTTTTATGTATAATTTGATACCATACACTTGGTATTTCGACTCAAATTGTCGTTATGAACCACATGTTACAATTTCATTTATATACAGGGTGGCCCATCGAAAACGTTCCACAAGGCATAACGGCCAGGGTATTTTTTTTTCAAAAAATCCAAAAACACATCAATTTTGTTTGTGAGGGGGACAACTTTTACCCCAAAAATGATTGCAAAATCTTCAACCCTCTAAGCGGGGCTGTCATCCTCCAACTTTTTTCAAACGGGAAGGGGGGTCAAGTGGCGCCGCAATGAAAAGAGCTTTCTATTCTCTGTATTTCCCCGCTTTGTTTTTGAAAATCGGTCCAGCCATTGAGAAAATATGAAGAATTGAAATTTGAAAAGTTTATTTAAACAGAAGTGTCTAGCCCCAGCGGGCAACTATTAAGCTTGACCAATCAGGTTGGTTAGCGTGGTTATTTAGAGCACCTGTGCATCAAATTGCGATATCTGCCATAGGACCGATCGGTAACTATGACAACAACAATTAACACATTTTTACTATATACAAATACGTATCGAGAGCTGTCGTAACTTACCAATACCGACGATTTTACAGAATAGCGCCCCAGGTTGAACGATCAGGTGCGGTAGTTGTTAGATAGCTGTTCTGTGACTTGTGCGTTGAAGTTCTTCTCAATATCGATAAACTGACCCACAATAGAACTTCCAAAAATACCAGCCCACATGTTCAATTTCTTAGGGTTTTGTGTGTGCACCTCGTGAAAAACCCTGGGGTTATCCTCAGCCCAGTACCGGCAGTTGTGCCGATTAACTACACCGTTCAAAAAGAAAGTACACTCATCCGAAAAACACATTAAATAGGAAATTATTATCATTCGCCACTCGTTCACTCATAGTTTCAGAAAATTGCAAGCGACGATCAAAATCGGCTTCGTTGAGTTCTTGTACCAACTGAATTTTGTAGGGGTGGAACTTGGTTTTTTTTAATATCCTAAAGGACACTTGTACGATACACGCCGGTCCCATTGGTTAATTTTTTTGTACTCAGCGTACTATCCATGGCAACTTGGCCCAATACGAATACCTCCATAGCTTCATTTACTACAGGATTTTCCCTCTGCCTCTTTTTATTCATAACGGAACCAGTTTCGCGAAATTTTGCTACTAACTAGCGAACAATTTTGCCATAAAGGTGTTTGTCAGGATGGAATCATTTCATTGAATATCTGCGCAACCCGATACATTAATTATTTTTAAGATAATGTTTGATTATTTCCACTTTTTATGTTAGTATACCATAATTGTTAAAAAGTTTAACGATATTGAGAAGAACTTCAACGCACAAGTCACAGAACAGCTATCTAGCAACTACCGCACCTGATCGTTCAACCTTTTGGCAAGTGAAAAAATGCGTAAACATCTAGAAATAATAAGAAAAGACAGCAAATTGGAATTTATCCTTATCATTTACTCTGATAAATGTTTAAATAAACTTTTCAAATTTCAATCCTTTATATTTTCTGAATGACTCGACCGATTTTCAAAAACGAAGCGGGAACGTATAGATAATAGAAAGCCCTTTTCATTGCGGTACAACTTGACCCTCTTCCCATTTAAAAAAAATTGGGGGATGACACACCCGCTTAGAGGGTTGAAGATTTTGCAATCATTTTTGGGGCAAAAGTTGCCCCCCTCACAAACAAAATTGACGTGTTTTTGAATTTTCTGAAAAAAAATTACCCTGGCCGTTGTCATAAATAACATGCCAAATCTCGTTTTTTTAACTGAAAAAATAAAAAAGTTATAGATGTGAGTCATTTTTTAGACGCACCCGGTATAGAAGATATTTTTTTCTTGCCTTTTAAGCTCTCATATATTTCGTTTTTAAGCTTACAATGCGGGTGAAACATCTCATGAAACCACTTCTATTTGATATTGAAAAAAATTATTTAGGATCATAAATTTTTTGAAAATGTTTTGTAGATTGATATCATTTGACTAACAAAGTTTCTCGTGCTTCTGATTATAGTATTGTATTTCCGAGTCAACCAAGTCAACTGGAAGTACTGGGACTCTTTAATTCGTTTGCCGACAAAGATAGTGCAGAAAGTTAAGAGTCCAAATCTGTTCCAATTCTTCCGAAAAACTATAACTAAATGATAAACTTGATTATTTTATGTGGAACATCTTTTATATTGTTAAACTCTATTTTGAGAGAGATGAGACGATTTTAATAGAAGACATTCAAAAACAGAGCGAAAAATAAGTTATTTTTGAATTAAAGTAACATGCAACGGTTGCTATATTCTCTCATTTGACGTTGGAGATGGCAACATTATCAAGTGTCAAAAAGATGTTGAATATATTTTATACAGGATATTCGGATACAGGATTTCGTGGACATAGAACTACTATGTATTTTTAGAAGCAAAATACGTTAATTGGATACAATTTACTTACCTTTATACAGTGTGTCATTGAAATGGTGTAAAAAAAATCCTCTGCCATAAATTTTGACCCTAAATCAAATGGTGATACTGAAAAATTATTTGGAAAAGCGGAAAGGGTAGTTTTGGCAAGGATAGGGGTTTTTTCGTGAATAACTTTTTTGGGAATATTTTTTTTGCAACGTGGGTTCATTTTTTGAAAACTACATACTGTTTCCTACAAAAAAGATACTCGTGTTGCACATCGCCCAGAGCCCCGAGTTTTCGAGAAAATTGAAGACAAAGAGTTTGGTCTGATGGGTTGCTAACTGGTTAACAACATAAACTTATGAAAGTTATGGCGGTTTAAAAGTAACCAAGTAGTTATCAAATAATTAATTGAAAAATCAAAATTTCATGATTTTTAAAACATCTTATTGCTTTAAAAAACTAAATAATCCAATTACCAAAATTCCTTATTAAAATAATGCATTCCTTAATTCATTCATAATAAATGTTCAAAGTGACCACCATTCATTTCAATGTAGACATCTGATCTTCTTCTCCACCATCTGCGTACCCTGTGGAATATCCTTGGTGTTGTCCGAATTTGATTGGAACAATCAATAATGCGTTGCCGTAGTTGCTCTTCAGTATTAATCGGCACTGAGCAAACTAAAATTTTTAAAACCAAAAGTTTATTTCGTTTTTAAAGCAATAAGATGTTTTAAAAATCATGAAATTTTGATTTTACAATTAATTATTTAATAACTACTTGGTTACTTTGAACCGCCATAACTTTCATAAGTTTAGGTTGATTAACCAGTTAGCAGCCCATCAAAGCAATATCTTTGCTTTCAATTTTCTCGAAAACCATCACTCTGGGCGATGTGCAACAAGAGTACCTTTTTTGTAGGAAAAAGTATGTAGTTTTCAAAAAATGTACCCACGTTGCAAAAAAAAAATAACTTTAAAAAGTTATTCACGAAATAACCCGCTACCCTTGCAAAAACTACCCTTTCCGCTTTTCCAAATAATTTTTCAGTATCACCATTTGATTTAGGGTCAAAATTTATAGCAGAGGATTTTTTTTCGAAGTCTTATCTCGTTTTTTAAGCCCACAATTTCAAAAAACCGTTTTTTAAATTCACTCTTTCAGTGCCCCTAACCCCATTATCTTCCGTGATGCCTATCATTTTCCGTCCTATACTTATAGGAACTTTTTTTACTATTTTTAGGTGTACTATCACCCCTGTGTCGATTTTTTTTACACCATTTCAATGACACCCTGTATACATAAATTGTTTAGAGATATTTAATTTTAAAATATCTATATTTAATTTTTAATTTAATTATTATTCACAGTTGTTTGTTTTTTAAAAATTTAAAACCCTCAAACAGACAGTCAAAGCACTTTTGTGCAACAATACACCAAAACACTTTTACTTTTACACTGGACGGGCGTTTCGCTAACCATGTTAGCATCATCAGCAGATGATTATAAACTATAATACAATCTACAATTGGAGCGTTTATATCTCGCTCAGTGGGCACAGAGTGGGCGTGGCAAGATCTAGCCAACCGAGTCAGAACCCACCGAGCGTAACAGTTAGATTTCCGCCACTAGAGTAGTAGGAACAAAGAACTTGAAGGAATTGGACCGTTGTCTCTGTTCATACTATCTTTACATTTATTAATTCTGATGCTTTCATATGCATCTAATTGCCTGTAATTTGAGACTTGTTTAAGTAATTTTAAGTTATTAATATCTATACAATGTTCTTTATCAACAATATGTTCGGCAACGCAAGATTTATCAGGTCTTGTCAGGACATTCTTAAAAATTCCTTTTAGACCACGGGATAACTGTCTATCAAACGGTATTGAAAAATATTTTGACGTATCTTTCCCCACTTGAAAAGTCGAATTTTCAGAAATCATTAACCTATACCTACGTTTTCTAAATATTTTATCAACTAGTGAATGAGAATATCCATTACATTCAGCTACATTCCTAATGTAATCTCTTTCTATTTCATATCTTTCGTTGGAAAGTGGAAAACTAAGTAATCTATGAACTAAGAAATTTAAACTAGCCATTTTATGTTCAATACTATGATATGATTCATTAGGAATATATCTGCGTGCAGTGGTATTTTTCCTATAGATATCAAATTCCAGGCAATTATTAGTATTTCTAATAACTAATACATCTAGAAATGGTAATCTGTCGTTGTTCTCAATTTCATGTGTAAATTTAATGGAAGGAAAACGATTATTTAACTTAGAAATAAAATTATCTATGGTGTCTGAATGTCTCAAAAACAGCAAAAATATCATCCACATACCTAAACCATACTCTTGGAAAATACTCAAACTGATTCTTTGATTGGGCAAACTAGAAGATCAGTATTAACTAGATTTAAATTTAGCTCAGATAAGATATGGTAGACCTGATAAAGAACATTGTATAGATCTTAATAACTTAAAATTACTTAAACAAGTCTCAAATTACAGGCAATTAGATGCATATGAAAGCATCAGAATTAATAAATGTAAAGATAGTATGAACAGAGACAACGGTCCAATTCCTTCAAGTTCTTTGTTCCTACTACTCTAGTGGCGGAAATCTAACTGTTACGCTCGGTGGGTTCTGACTCGGTTGGCTAGATCTTGCCACGCCCACTCTGTGCCCACTGAGCGAGTGTATAAACGCTCCAATTGTAGATTGTATTATAGTTTATAATCATCTGCTGATGATGCTAACATGGTTAGCGAAAACGCGTCCAGTGTAAAAGTAAAAGTGTTTTGGTGTATTGTGGTGATTTAGTGTTTTATTTTGCTGTGTAACACCAAAGGTTCCAAACCCTCAACTGTAACAAACTTCTACGCTAATTGAAACCACTAATTTTGAGGTTCTGAATGAAGCTTATGTCCATGAAGGATTGAGACACCCTGTATAAAAATTTTAACGTTTTTTGGAAAATGTGTTTCTAGGTATATACTGCCAGTTAAAATATTATTGTCGCTGATTATTTCAACAATTAATATCAATTTTTTGCTTTGATAACAACAACTTGTTACAATTTTTTTATTTATTTGTTATACAATCTATTACCTTGTACTATAGACTACTATACTATATTATATTAAGTTATAAAGAATGGGAGATATTTAAGTCTTAAGTATCTAACACTTTGAATTACTTTTATGTAGACTGTGACAGCGGCGCAGTCAAGCTCGCCGGCCTTGTATTAAAACAAAGGCGTTGTGCCGCCAAAGCCAATATTAAGATCCATAATTTTGTCAAAGCCCTTCAGCCACATTCTAAGATGGATAGATTTGAAAATGGTGGGTTATCACTAATATTAGCCCTTACCACACTTCCGCTATGATTTACATTATGTAGTCGTTTGACATTGAAAAGTTCGTTCATAAGCAAGAATGTCAATTTTGACAGATGTTATGGTTTATCTTATATCGTGCTTGCGGAAAAAATCATTAAGTTCATTCAACCTTTAAGTACAGTGTTAGCATTTTATTAAATCCCACTTTTAACAGGGCATAACTTTTTTGTTTTTGAAGAGAGATACTTAAAACAATTAGGTACACCACTTTTAAAACTAAAAATTATGAAACGTCACTCACGGCCAAAATATCAATTTGGGACTAAAACGATTAAGGGAGGAGTATATGAAAGGAGCGCGGTGGGCACCAAAAACCGATTTAAATTCTGGTTTATCAGTGCCGTTATAATTTTATTCAAAACGTGTAAAAGTATGATGTAGGTTAAACTCAATAATTTGTTGTTTTATTTTACGTGGTCAATAGATGTTGGTAGTTATTAAAATTGTTATAAAAATATACAATTCTAATAAAAATAGATAAGTTATAATAATTATTTATTAACACAAACATCCGATATGCTACTGAAGCAGGTAAGTCAAATTGACGTATCTAAATTCTTGGACATTTAATCTTTGACAAATAGTAAACAAAAGCAAAAATGCAAGAAAATATATATAATTAGTTCATTATATTATGATCGGTTTACTACACGAAAAGTTATTTCATTATTTCCCTCGATTTTGACCGAGAGATCACACACACTATACAACCAACTATTTTAGAGCCTTTTTCGATAAATCCCAATAGTGTCACTGTTAATTTAAGTTCTGCGACAATTTCCTTCTAGATTTAGTATGTCTAAACAACTACTAGTTGTAGAATAAATAATAAATAACATAAAATAAGCTCAGTAAAGACAGATATGTCCACAAAATTTCAAATCAAATTTCAATCTGTCAAATCAATCGTCAAACAGAAGTGTCAAGGGTCCCCACCCCCGTCTGCCATGCATGAATATATGGATAGCATTATACTCCTTCCTCAATCTTTTTATTTAAATATTTGGGACTAGAATATTCCACTTTTTTGCAAACTAAGCACTGGCGAACCATCTTAGAAATTTAAAAATATACACAGTTCTTTTACAAAGAAAAACAGTAAAAATTACTTGAAAAACACAAAAGTTCACAAACACAGCACAGAATTTACAACACCGCACCGTTAAACATAACTCGAATGAATCCATCAAGTTTTTACTGTTAATTGTAAAAACCATAGAAACCCAACATTCTTCCTGAAGCAGTGTTGTCGCAGTTACTTCCAAAACTAAATATAACTTCAAAGGAATAATCTATGCATTTTGACTAAAATGATATACGTACATTTATATTTAGTACGCCATTTCTAATTACTCAAAAAAGCATTAATAATAATAATAACATACTTAATTTTCAAACAAAAGCCGTAGATATAACGTAATCCGCATAAATTTGAAATTTGTCATTATGGATTTTGGTTGAAAACGATGTTTGATCGTGAAAAAATGTAAATAGTTTTGTCTCCCTTCATTTAGATTTCGTTGGGTTGAACGTTCGCCGCCGCTGTTTAGGATAAACCATAGCGTAGAAATATTTAATATTGGCTGACATTTAAACTAGAAAAATCCTCGAATATAGAACTTTTCAATAAAATGTTATCTATGCATTAGTCTATTTGTTAACATTCGTCATATGCTTTTGGTTTGCTTTTGTAGACTCTGCAATTAATACATCTTATTGTTTAAAGTTGGTACGGTATTTATTGGTATTTATTGTTTTAGAAGATTCCGATGGCGGAGGTGGAAGTCGAGTCGTAAGGTCTTCACGACGGGAAGAAACGCGTGAAGACCTTCCTCTTCATAACGCGGCGTTGCAAGAGTTACTGAGTGACGTCATGAAGCACGAAGACGCATGGCCGTTCATCAGACCGGTTCAACAAAAAGAGGTTAGGAAATACATTTTATAAAATATCTTACAAAGTGTTGTCAGTTTTGAAGGAAAATGACTGGTATACACATATACGCAATAATAAATAAAATTAATATAATCTTAAAGCATATTATAAGAGCGTGCTGACATGCCATATTTTGCATATTTATGAATATATTGCTTTCAGTTCTGCAACTAAAGAATCAGCCGACTAAAAATTTCACGTTAGCGTGCGCTATATTTTCTTGAATTTAAGAGAAAAAATCTTAACTTTCAGAATTTTTTTAGGTACCTGATTATTATGAAGTCATTTCAAACCCTATGGATTTCGGTACGATAAAATACAAATTAAACGTTGGAGATTACAGTACAGATAGTCAGGTGTTAAAAGATGTGGTTCTCGTATTTGAAAATTGCAGTACCTATAATTCCAGTGATGCTGATGTTTACAAGTAAGTACAATTGTATAACTTTACCAATCGGTTCTTATCAAAGTAGCAATTATGACATATTCAAAATTATTTTTTAATTTTTTCAACTAAAAACATTTTCTTTGGTTATTTTTTTTACGCTGCTATGACGTTGGAGCCGTAGTAAGGCAGGTTCGAATCCTAGTCAAGGCGACTTTTTTAAATCGTTTTTTTTTAATTTTTACATGTTTATTTTTACTTTTTACATATTTATTATTGATTAATACAATTTTTAGTAATGTCACAGACTAACCTAAACAGATGCGACAAACAATGCAAATGTGAAAATTACATTTTGGCGAATGCGCCAGGCAAATTTTTCCGTTAGATTTGTCATATAGGCGAATTTTACAGCGGACCAGCAAAGTAACCTCCATTCGTTTACTAAGAAGCCACGCCTCCTTTGTGTAGAAAATAGAGAGGGAATTTTGTAGTTCGGAATCAAATAGAGATGATTTTAATTTCATTAGTTTTTTTTCAATTTTTGATACATTCACAATCTATACCTACTAATATATATAAAATTCTTAACCACTCAACGTAAGAAGCTCAATTTTGGCATACAGGTTGATTCTAGGGTGTAGCGGTTCGATAAGAAGACACTTTTCGAAATTCCAGTTCCAAGGGGGTGAAACCATCCCTCAAATATTACAATATTTTTTATTTAAAAAACGATCAAGTTTCCGAAAAAACGCTTAAACACGTATATTTTATTTTGTTTTTTTACATAATTTAAGATTTTTTAAAAATGTATACAGAGTGATTCGAAAAATCTGGTCATTGATTAATCACGATCCTGCTTAAAGCGCTTGACGTAAAAAGCTGATTTTTGGAAAACGGATTGACTTTAGGGTGTAGAGGTTCGATAAGAAGGGATTTTTCGAAACTCGAATTCTAAGAGTGAAACCACCTCTCAAATATTAGAATATTTTTATTTAAAAACCGATGTGTTTTCGGAAAAACTCTTAAAAACGTATATTTTGTTTTTGTTATTTTTACATATTTTAAGATTTTTTAAAAATTTATACAGGGTTATTTCATAAGATATGACCATTGAGTAATCACGATTCTGCTTAAACTGCTTGACGTTTAAAGCTGATTTTTGGTAAACGGATTTACTGTAGGTACGGAGATTCGATAAGGAGGGGTTTCTCGATTCCAAGAGGGTGAAAAATGCCCTCAAATATTACAATATTTGATATTTAAAAACGGTTAGTCTTTCGAGAAAACGCTTGGACAATGCATAATTTATTTTGTTTTTACATATTTTGATTTTTTTTTAAAATCATACAGGGTGTTCCAAAAGTTGGGTAATTGATTAACTACGATTCTGTTTAAACTGCTTGACGTAAAAATTATTTTTGGCAAACAGATTTTCGAAAGTGAAATTCAACGAGATGAAACTACCTGTCAAATATTACCAAGGAGGTTATATAATAATATCGCCATATTGTTTTCTTCTGAGGCTCAGGACATAAATGTGAGAACATTTTTTATCCAGTGTGTATGTTAATGGTAATTCTTGCTTTGCTTTTTATCATCACCATTACAAATGATTAATTCGACGCAAACGAAGTCGCGGGTACACGCTAGTAATTACTAATAACTAAAGATATTAATACATTTTAAAAAAAGGTTTTTACTATTAGGTATTTTTATGTACTTTATTTTATATTATTTTTCTAACTATATAATTATTAGAAAGTGACTTCCGCTGCCGGCGCCGGTTCCCCTTAATGGTTGCCGCCGGCTCCGGATTCCATTGACAGCTGAAAGAACGGCGGAAAGTAACGCCTAGCTATAGCCAATTTTGCAAGAGCAGCTGTGGCTCCGTTACTGAGACTGAGGCCATCACTTCGTGAACGAGAGGTCCGTGGTTCAAATCTCACGCCAAACTAGAATTCTTTTATTTTTTACTGCTTACTGCTTTTTATTTTTAAAAAAAAGCTGTAAATATTTACTAGCAATCAAAATACGAATTGCGTTATTGGTTTCACTCTTTTGGTGAGGTTAGATTGATTATTTGCGGAGTTAGTTGCGTTGGTTAAGTTGGTTATTTGGTGTTGATTGCATTGGATAGGTTAGCTATTTGGGTGGGGTTGGTTGGTTTTTATTAATTTACATTTGTTTAGTCTCTGACGTTAACATTTTTATTTTCGGAGCCGGCATCTATGCTCCCGAATTGTGGAAGCCGGCGCCGGCAGCGGAGTCACTTCCTATACATATACTTCCGATTACAGGGTGGTCTGGGTCACAATTTCTTTCTTCTTAGTCTAAAAATACATTTTGCAATATAAATACATTTGCAATATAAGAGATAAAAATTTGTTGACACACCCGACCTCCGTTTTCCGTTTATTATAGGCGCTCTGTGCTCTCAGCTCCATTGGAACGAACTATAATTATTATAATTATCCCTAAATTTCATCTCCCAAAAAGGGAAAAGTCGGTACAAACATTCCGTAAAAAATTGTTTGTGGAGTTTAATATTTTTGACAAAGGTAAATTCATCCCCTAAAGAGGTAAAATTAGTGGGTGGAAATTTATATAAAAATTTGTAAAAATCTCGTCCGAAGAATATACAATAATTTTGTTATTATTAATTTCAAAAGGTTTCTTAAGTAACGCAATGACTATATGAGAAGCGACTATGAAAATTCATCCCCGAGGAGGGTAAAATTAGGGCTGAACAATTATAAAGCAAAACATAAAATAAAAACCTGTTCATTCAAAAAAAAACATTACAATAAAGGTTTCTCTAGGGATTCAATAAAAAATCCGTCCCTTAAAATAAGAAAAAAAAATGATTGTAAATATTCGTTAATATTTGGTATAAAGTATGATATTTCGGTGTGGCATACTTACGAAGCGTTTTCTAGAAACTCATTTCCTAAAGGGGTAAAAATAAAGCAAAATGTTATGAAAATTCGTTACTACTATATGGTTTTAAAAGTACATAATATTTATGAATTAAAATTTGGCCAAATATGCTTAAGTATAATTGGGAAGCAATAGTATAGAGTAGAAGAAACGATTTTTGAAAATTCATCATCTCGGGGATGATAGGGGTGAAAGTTGGCATGAAAATTTATTACTTACCTGGCATAGAAGTATAATATTTTTACAAAGTATACAGGGTCCGGCAATAGTGCGTCGGGCATCTGTAGCTCCTAGAATAAAAAACTTGAGAATTTTGTTTAAGTGCAAACCTAAAGTATGTACCAGGATATTTCAGGAAAATATTTTAACTTTATAGGAGATGGCTCAAAAAGTGTGAGTGGACCTGAATGATTTTTTTAAATGGAACACCCTGTATATTGCATTTTTGGCTTCCCTTTCAGATCACTTTACATAACCTAAGATATGAATAAATATATTTCGATAGGTTCAGAGATATTAAAAAATAAATTGTAAATATATATTTTTCAGCCCTTTCTTAAAAAAAATTAAAAAAATACAGGAACTGTTCTGAAATCAAAGCAACTATATTTAGGTATTTACTTTAGATAGTCTGCACTTACTTTGCTATTATTGCATGAAAATCGTAAATTATACAGGATATTCAAAATTGTACATTAAACTTTCTAAAATATAAAAACAATTTTTCTTCGTTTTCAATGGAACACCCTGTATATTATTTTATTACAGACGGAGAATTAAAAAATGAACATTTTGTATTTAGAGATTTCCAGTCTTTTAATAGTTCCTGAATATTTGCAGTTTTATATTTCATATGGCATTTCCACTGTAAATTTTTATCAAAGCCACCCAATGATTTTTCTCTTCGTATTTTACCATTGAAAGCGCCATATGAAATAGGTACTGCGTGTATCTGCGAAACCATTCTAAAATTTTGAAATACTAAACAAATGTTCGACCCTTAATACTCCGTCTAATAAAAAATAATATACAGGGTGTTCCATTTAAAAAAACAACAAAGAAAAATATTTTATATTTTAGAAAGTTTAATAATATTGAACATCCTGTATGATTTACGATTACCATATTTATAGCAAAGTAAGTGTGGAACAGCATCCATCTTTAAAGTAAATACCTAATATAGTTTTGATTTCAAAAAGTTCTTGTATTTTTAATAATTTTTAAGAAGGACTGAAAAATATACATTTTTGATTTATTTTTAATTTCATACTATCGAACATATATAATATTCATCTTTGAGAAATATGCAAAGTGATCTGAAAGGAACTAAAAATGCAATAATATACAGGGTGTTCTATTTAAAAATCATCCAGGTCCACTCACACTTTTTGAGCCAAATTTATAGAAGTTAAACATTTTCCCTGAAATACATCCTGCTGACATACTTTGGGTTCACACTTAAACAAAAATTCTCAAGTTTTTTATTCTAGGAGCTACAGATGCCCGACGCACTATTGCCGGACCCTGTATGAAGTTAATAAGTCGATTATTTGATCGAACTGTATGTGTATTTAAATTCACTTTTTTCGTATTAGAAAATCTAGGTATTTTCGGAAAAAACACGCACAGTTTTTGATATAATTTAGTCCTAGAAAATCTAAAAAATGTATCTTCTTCAGTTTATAGTGAAATGTTTTCTCATCCATTGAAAGCACACTTTTTTAAAAGCATTTTAAATAAAATCAAAACAAGAAACTTAAACTGAATAGCTGAATTAACTAAAACAATACTAAGAACACCGTGAACTAACTAAATGTAAACCAACAAAACCCAACAGAAAATTAAAATCGGAAACAGCTAATAATAATGATGTATGTAATATCCATGTGAAACAACTGAAGAAACTGACTTAAAAATCCTCTGAAAACCTTCAATATTCCCATCTTAGATTCCCATATCCTTTTTCTAGGACACTGTTGCCAATTCTACTTACCAATTTGTATAAACTATATCGGTATCACGGCACATGCAAACAATATGCCGTGTCTGTATCATAAAAGTACCTATTTGCTATATAAAAGATCAGCTGCTAAATTTTAAATCAATTTAAAATATCAAATAAAATTATAGTAGTGCATAAAACTATTAACAAGCAGGATATAAAAATAATTAAAGATAATTTAAGCTGGCTAATAGTAGATAGACTTTAGATTAATATTTGAAATTAACAGCTGGAAGTACAGCTAAATACAAACGGCAAGCTGACAACAAAGATCCTATTCTTTAAGAATTGTATATTTCTGATATTTTATATAATTTTTAATTTTAAAGAAATCGTCATTTTCTTTATACATATGTATTGATCTTAACCGATTGTTAAAATTTGTAAATTTCTCATACTTTACAAATAAATATTAGCTGATATTTCCTAACATCATGTAATAGTTATTTATTATTATCCAGGAGAAAGCGCTAATACAAGTACATATAACATTTAATTCTCACATAAAAAAAGTTCAAGCTGGCAATCTCGCTTTGACTTTATAATCGTGCGGCGGCTGCGACGGCAAGACGAGACGGCGCGGTGTATCAAAGGCAAGGTTAAATGTGAGAAAGAACGAAAAGAAATGGAAGCTTAGGAAGGGGGAGTGCGGGGAACGATTTGAAATCACCACGGCTGTTTGTTTGGCCGAATATTTTGCCTTCATCGACGGTATCGCCGCCCTGTCGTCACACTTCCGAACATAGGTCTTTTTGAACACAAAATTTCCCATAAGGTGTCGCATCTGTTTAAGTTAGTTTGTGGTAATGTGCTTCTTCATTTTTTTTTAAATTACTTATACGCGTATTCAAAATTTCAGCTAAATCGGAAAAAAAAGTTTATAATAATATAGTGTCTAATAGTGATGTAAACTTTAGTTACTTTTATGGACTCGTAACTACTAGTTACTGTTGGTAATAGGACTCGTTACTTTGGACTCGTTAGTTTAGTTACTCGTTACTTTGGTACTTAATATCGTCACTTTATAATCGTTGTTTTGTGTACAGGTTGGAAGACTTGGGCTTGACGTGGAACTTCGTTACTTATTGTGCGCGGCGATCTTCGTTGCATGCTCGGTTTAACCTATAAGGGGTTTCTACTTTCTTCTAGTGTAAGGGCTTAATAGGATAATTTCAATACTCGGTATTCAAGTACTGAATAATATGTTTTTAATAATATGTATAGTCTATAAAATGAATAACTTTGAATTTTGACCGTTATTTTTTACCAACATGGCAAATATAAAACTCCCTCTGTCAAAAAAGCTACTGAAATTCTTTTAAATTGAGTGCCTGAACGGATCAGATAGGTAACTCTTTTTTACTTTCGTGGAATAAAAAAAGGAAAATAATAAAACAAGTGACAGTTCTTCCTCTTCTTGCAAAAAATCAACACGAAATGGCATAATTGTCAAAAAATAAAATGTCATCAGCTTTTTGACATTTCTAAATATCAGACCAATGCCGTCTCTTAATAGAACAGCCTCGGAGCGAGAGATTTATGACGTCACGTTAGTTAGATACAACGGATTAATAAATATGTTGTAGAATACATGGAAAACATAATTATTCCTCGTATTTTTGGTTTGTATTTTAAAAATGATATAGTTTACATGAAATATACATAATATACAGTTAATAAATACAATATATATACCTATTATAGTAATAAATACTTTAATATTAAAAAAATGTATATTCCTCCGTGGCGGATTCATCTCTTCAAAAAAGTCCTTTGGATTAACGCAGCAGTGTTTAATAAAAATTACTATTTTTATTTTGTAGATTTTCTTACAATGTAAGTGGCGAATTATCTATTCTTTTTTGAAGAAGAAAAATATTTGCTCTGCTTTTTCAGATGTTAACATTTTTTGTGATTAACGTGAATCCATTTTTAATTAATATCTAAGACATGTAAATCTAAATAAACAATTCTATTCTGTAAATAAAAAGCGACAACAAACGACAAAGGGACAGACCGCCTCCGGGTCGGCATGAGCCAATCATAATAATTGTAATAAAGATATCACACATTTGCCATCCAAAAATCGGCCGGCGTCAAGTCAACACTTTAACCATAAACATATTGATAACAACTGGACCTACGTCGAAGTAAGGAATATTTCAGTATCGAGTTTCGAGTTCTCCGTTCGTGCATTTCCAGGGATTACGATTACTGCCGGCGCAAAAGTAACGAATTAGCTTAGTAACGAGTAACGAGTCCTAAATTCAAATATAGTCTATAAAATGAATAACTTTGAATTTTGACCGTTATTTTTTACCAACATGTCAAATATAAAATCCCTCTGTCAAAAAAGTTACTGATATTCTTTAAATTGAGTGCCTGAACGAATCAGATAGGTAACTCTTTTTACTTTCATGAAATAGAAAAGGAAAATAATAAAACAAGTGACAGTTCTTCCTATTCTTGCAAAAATCAACACGAAATGTCATAATTGACAAAAAGTAAAATGTCATCAGCTTTTGACACTTCTAAATATTAGACCAATGCCGTCTCTAATAGAACGGAGCGAGATTTATGACGTCACGCTAGTTAGATACTACGGATTAATAAATATGTTGTAGAATACATGGAAAACATAATTATTCCTCGTATTTTTTGGTTTGTATTTTAAAAAATGATATAGTTTACATATGAAATATACATAATATCAGTTAATAAATACAATATAATATACTTAGATTAAGAAGATAATATATACCTATTTATTGTAATAAATACTTTGGCAAATAAACTATGAACCATACAGATGCAGCAAATGTTTTACAATATACAAATAATGTGGTACATAAGATAATGCGTAAAATGTAAAATATATTTTAAATTTTGGGGTTTGAAAATCGATCAAATTTAAAAAAAACATTCAATATCTACTAATAGTGATGTATTATTATTTGCATTCACAAAATTTATTTATATATTATAATGTTTACTGCAATTAATAAACTAATATAAACTTGTCAAAAGATGACCACATATTTTTTTAAATTATTATTCTTAATACAAAAACTATCTAAATTGACTATCGAGTACGATTTCAGCCATATTGTAAAACATTTGCTGCATTTGTATGGTTCATAGTTTACCTGCCAAAATATTTATTACTATAAATAGGTATATATATATTGTATTTATTAACTGCATATTATGTATATTTCATGTAAACTATATCATTTTCAAAATACAAACCGATAATACGAGGAATAATTTTGTTTTCCATGCATTCTACAACATATTTATTAATCCGTAGTATCTAACTAGCGTGACGTCATAAATCTCGCCCCGAGGCTGTTCTACTAGAGACGGCATTGCGTCAGCATGGCCGCAAGTTGCTAACCTAATAAAATTAACATTAGAACAGCCCGCGGGAACTGTCAAATTCAAAGTTATTCGTTTTACGGACTATAGTAAGCACGTTACTGAGTACTCGTAAAGTGTAACGATTACTTAGAATTTTACATCACTAGTGTCTAATGTTTCTATAGATAATGAATGGTACGGAACTCCTTCGTGCGCGAGTCCGACTCGCACTTGACCAATTTTCTCATTAAATAGTTAAAACGAGTTTTTCCTATTTTTATTGAAAAAAAGAGTTTTCAAGATGTTTTGAACAGTTACAAATGTTTAAAACATGTAATTATGTTTGAAACACGTTCAAAACACTTGTTTTTAAGCAAAATATTTAAAATCCTGTTTTTTACTGAAACCTAACATACACTCACCAGCACGAAAAACGAGCACCTTAAAATTTTCATGCATTTTTAAGTTTTATATGTGTTCTAGAGGACCGATTTTGATGATTTTTTAAGCAATTTGTAGCTAAATTAGTTGACTTTAGTATATCTTTAAGCGTCTTCTTCAAAAGCAAATATCTCTAAAAAAATAAAGCTATTGAGATGAATCAAAAAATAAACTATCGAGAAAAGGTACACCTAGATGATAAAATTATTTTTAAATTTCTTGCTTTGTTAACGTACTCCACAGGGTGTTTCAAATTTTCACCAAAATATCACCATTTTGTTTTCCCTTGTTTAAGCGACCGATGAAAACTTTCATTTTTAATTTAGAAAGAGATACTAAAAAGTCAAATAATTTAGCTACATATTGCTTAAAAAATCATCAAAATCGGCCCACTAGAACAAAATATATTAAACTTTAAAATACATCAAAATTTTAAGGTGCCCGTTTTCCGTGCCGGTGAGTGTATTACAAAAATTACCAGTTTTACACATATATAAAAAACACTCTAAACGGAGAATCTAAAAATAAAATAAAACATAGGGTGCTAACACTTTTGAAGTACCAGATAGACTCACAAATCATTTTATATTGTGTATCTCAACAGTTTCTAAAACTGATTTAACCAACTCATATGCCAAACGGGAGGATTCACAACATTGACATTTGTGTACTGTCATTTTAGTTCACAGATAAATTGTATCTTTTCTGTTATTTTTTGGATGTCGTCGGTCGAAATCTTTCCTGAGTCTTTGAACCGACTATAGTTTAACATTTTTTTCATAATTCTCAAAACAAATGAAATAATGAACTTCACTCTTTCTTTGACTCACCGACTATAAATATCTCTTTTTCCATAAGGTGCGGTATGCGATTGCTAAAGTATCTCGCCAAACGAGCCAAACAAATTGGACTGAAGGTACCACCAGAATTGGAAGAGGAAGAAGATGAAGATCTGGAACCTAAACCAAAAAGAAGCGAACAAAATAGTATTACAGTAGTTTCTTCCGCGGTTAACTTTATACGAAAACGTTTATTTTATAGAGCTCGTCGGCAGTCGTGAAAAAAGACAAAAAAATCAACGCACCTAGATTTAACTATTAAGTTTATTCTGTTTCACTTAGGATACGCATGTAAGACGTGTATTTTTGTAAAAATGCATCGTTTTTAGTTGTAAATATATATGTTGTTTGTAAAATCTCCTCTTTAAGTATTTATCTGTTAAGGATATTAAGTTTGTTTTATAATTATTACAAATGGAAATATGAGTACTTCACTTAAGGTTAATAAACTTCATATTTATAACAAGCTGTGGTTTTAATTGGTGCTTAATTTTAAGAATTCCCCGAAAATAAAAAAATATGATATCAAAGTTACATCTTTCAGTTCACTATTTTGTTACTAGTGATGGGCAAAACTGAATGGGCAAAACAGTTGAAACTGTTATAGTTATTTATAAAAAACAGCTTAAAAATAACAGGTTTCTTTATTTCATTGCTAAATATCTGAAAGAGTATGAGGCGGTCACCGCCAGGCGTATTAACGCAGTTGCAAGTTGCAACAATGACGTGCTCAGTGGTAGTATTTCCAGGGTGTCAAAACATTTCTAAATATCGATTGTTATCTAAAATACCTCTCTAAAAACGGTGGTTGTTTACAAATAAGCGCTGTTTACAAATTGCGATATAAAAAACGCCAAAATGCCGCCACTCGTCTATACCTATACATTCCGATCTACCTACGCCCTGCTCCTCGATCCGCCTGAATTGCGTAGCAGTGTACAGGGTGCATCTCACTCGACGGGCGAGAAGGCTTAGTTATGATTTTACCATTTGCAAAATTGCATTCAACTGCATTCAAAAAATAGCAATATAAGAAAACGTGTAGTATATCTTTATAAGTAAACAAACTACACACTAGAGTTCGAATTATTTTTACACTTAAATTTGCAAAGGAGAATTTCTACTTGGGTATTTATTCTGAAAATTTTTCAGAATAAATAATATAATAATAGCTCCCGTGTATAGCGTTTGACGCCTTGGGAGTAGCAAGGTACAGCTTGTCATGCTAGAGCCGTTCGGTATACAAGGAAGGTAATGTGGCTAGCACTACGCTTCAACCGCCTATTATTACCTCAGGATTGTGAATCCCAAGTACTCATTTAAGGCTGAGTCGACCTAGGTACCCAAACTATTTTTATTTTAATAAAAATAGTCGGCTGATGAAATGCCGGATGTAGGATTCGAACCCACTACCGTGAGATTGGTAGACGAGAGCCTGTACCTCTACGCTACCGGGTACGGTAAATAAATTCCTAAATATTGAAACTTAATAACTAAGTACTGAAAGATACAGCGCCATAATATCTCGATCTCCGCCCGTTATGCTCGTAACAGGTTGAAAAACAATGTATCTAAAACAACTGATGCGCTATTCTCCAACCTGTTTCGAACCTCCATCAACAATCGACCGATGCAGCAGCGTTACTTTCTATACGTTATTCCCCAACCCGTTGCGAGCCTCCATCGACAATCGACCGATGCAGCAGCGTTCCTTTGCCACTCCTGTTATCTCGACCACCAGGCGTTATGCCCGCAACTGTTTCAAAAAAGTTGCTTCTTTTATATCCTATTATTTTTAAGCTGTTGCAAGCCCAACACGACCATCGACCGATGCAGCTACGTTCGCCGCGCCGTAGAGCATTCCCCACGCCGTTGTCCGTTGTATCTCGCCGCCTGTATCGATGGTTGTCGAAATAACATGTTTTCCATCCATACTAGTTGTCTTTTGGAATTGCTTCGGGCAGCATCGAATTTCGTGGCGGTGCAGAGTGCCGACTTCGTTTCACGAACGGTCGATCTCTTCGTGTCGTTATTTTATATCTGTTATTTTTTAGAAGTAGTAACGGTTGCGTTATGTTATTTCTAAATAATTGTTATAAAATAACAGTTAGTTAAATAACAACCCATCACTATTTGTTACAGATGGATCTCTCTATGCTTGTTAAATTCCTGAGTTAGCCAGATAATATTTCAGAATTATTTTCCCTAGATTTATAGTTTAATTTTTGTAACGTCTCCCAACTTGATTTTCATAGCCCTCTTCATTTCTGAGCTACACGGTCTTTTTGAAAATTTTGCAATTTGGGACACTCCTTGTATCTCTGTTATTGTTAAAGGTATCGAGACGGTGAAAACTGTTTATTGTAGAACTTTTTACGTAGAATACAGTGGCGTAGTCTGTTATTCTACGAAAATAATATTTTTTAAGATATGAACTAAAGTTGTTTTCTTAAATGGAACACCCTGTATATTTATAAATTATAAGATCTGACTTGTCATAAGCTTCTCAAAACTATATATCACTCTATATTTATTTTCATTGCCAACTCTGCAATATTTAAAAAAATATATTAAGATCATATTCATATTTATTAGTAGGCCATGATTCATAATAAAAGAAACTAAAGAATTATTAAAAGTATATACTTCTATCTGTCTCTTCTTTTATTTTGAGAGCCACTAACAAATTCTTTATATATTAGGAAAACTTAACTCTCTACCGCTATTTGTAAATTTTGGAAGCTATCGTATCGGAACTTTTAAATATTCCTTTAGCTAATTTACGTAAAATATAGTTTCAGCAAGATGGGGCTCCCCCACACAACTTAACTTACAACGAAAATATTAGAATTGATGGCATATGATGGTCTCCCTGATTCCCGGATTTGTCAGTTCTCGATTTCTGAATTTGTGGATTTTTGAAATATGAAATATATCGTGGCAACTAATACAATGTCGAACACCTGGAAATGCTTTAATAATGCAAGCTTTTAGATATTTGCAAACCCATCTCGTTATAAAACAAAAAAAAAATATATTCAGAGATTCAGTGGTAACAATTCAAAAGTAAAATATATCAATTCCAAATAAAATTCTAATATGTGTATGACTATTTTAGTAAATACCATTTTGATTTTTTGTATTTATCACGGCCTACTAATAAGAAAATGATATATTTTAAACATTGCAGTAAATAGTGAAAATAAATATAGAGTGATATATATTTTTGAGAAGCTCATAGCAAAGCGGATTATTTGATTTATAAATATACAGGGTATTCCATTTGAAAAAACATAACTTTAGTTCATATTTTCAAAAATATTTTTTTCCTAGAAAAACAGACTACGCCACTGTATTCTACGTAAAAAGTTCTACAAGAATCAGTTTTCACCTTCTGGATATCATTCATAATAACGGAGATACGGGGGCTGTTCCAAATTGCAAACTTTTTAAAAAGACCCTGTAGCTCAGAAACGACGAGGGCTATGAAAATTTTGTTGACAGCATCTTCCGTTTGGCAAAAAAGGGGCAGAGGTTTGTGCAAACCGCACCCTTCTATCTTCACGAATAACGGAGATACCGTTTGATTTCAACCAAAATGGGACACTCTGTTTGTACAGGGTGGTCGAAATTGGTCGGTTTTAACAGGGAAAACCTATTTCCTGACTAGATAGAGCAAAACCGACATAGATGCCATGGGCTCGATTTCTGAGAAACGTTTAATGGCGTAACCCGCCTGTTGATATTTTCACTGCCAACTGAGATACGGGGTCTTATTGAATTTTTTACCATTTTGAAAATTGCCCATAACTTTTTTTTTTGCCGAATAATAAAATTCTGTAAAAACGTTATTAAGGCACTTGTTTAGGCACAATCCAGTGGCGTAGTCAGTTTTTTTCTATGCTTGCTCATTTTGTCAGAAATAATAAAAAATATAATTTTTTAAATGGAAATCATAGTTGGCTATGAACTTAAAAAAATGCAGGCGTTTTACCCTTTCCAATGATCTAAAGTTATCGACATCTATTTCTAAGAATTAGAGAAATATTAGGTTTTTGATCTTTATATCGAAGCGGGCCTTGATTATGTGTTGACCTATTTGCCTAATTATTTTTTATCACAATTTAATATTCTATATTATTATTTATCTGCATAATTAAAAACTTTTGAAAAGGTAAATTAACATTCTATATTAGTATTAGTAATTACAATTGAAATCGACACAATAAACAAAGAATAAAACTAAAAAAAGTATTTTTTGAGTGACGAATATAGTTTTCTAAAAAAAAATAATCAAAGATGTTAAGGGGTGCCCAAAACATCTTTTGCGCAGAGAGTTACAACAATTTATTAGGCGAACTGGTGTAATAAGTCCAAAAGCTTGCCTAGTCTTCTGTAATTCCTTCTCTTGTCCCAATGGTTCTTCCCTTATATATAAGGCCTTTTAATTTCCACCATAAAAAAAGTCAAAAGGGGTTACATCACAGGACCTAGCAGGCCAAGATATGGGATCCCTTGTTCCAATTCAATTCTCTCTAAATTATCCATTTAATAGTGCAGTTGTAACCCTGGCTTTTTAATTGTAAATGGTAATACTAATATAGAATGTTGATTTACCTTTTCAAGTCTTTAATTATGCAGATAAATAATGATATAGAATATTAAATTGTAATAAAAAATATTTAGGCAACTATAGGTCAACAAAAAATCAGGGCCCGCTTCGGTACAAAGATAAAACACGTAATATTTCTCTCATTTTTAGAAAAAAATACACAAAACTTTATATCGTTGGAAAGAGTTAAACGCCAGCATTTTTTTAAGTTCATAGTCAACTACGAGTTCCATTTAAAAAATTATATTTTTTATTATTTCTGACTAAAAAAGTAAGTTTAGAAAAAAATGACTACGCCACTGGATTGTGCTTAAAAAAGTGCCTTAAGAACGTTTTTACAGAACTTTATTATTCCGGAAAATACAAAAGTTATGGGCAGTTTTCCAAATGGAAAAAAATTCAAAAAGACTCCGTATCTCGGTTGGCAGTGAAAATATGAACAGGCGGTTTAGGCCATTAAACGTTTCTCAGAAATCGAGCCCATGACATCTATGTCGGTTTTGCTTTATCTAGTCAGGAAATAGGTTTTCTCTGTTAAAACAGACCAATTTCGACCACCCTGTACAAGCGATGCAACGCTTTGCGCAGCCTGCGCTTTCGACTTGCTTG